ACAGCTTAGCTGTTGGTAGCCCTGCGCCGGGAGTGGTTGACCATGCTCCCGGTCCGGATAACGTCAATGGAAACGGAGGAGACGAAGAGACGACGGAGAATGATTCCATTATTAACCGTGTTGTTAAAAGGATTCTAAAAGTAATAAAACTAATTCTAAAAGTAATAAAACTAATTCTAAAATTATTAATATTAATTTATGAACTATTGGTAATAATACTATGGCTTTTAAAAGTTTTGTTTAAATTCATTATAATAGCACTAAAAATCTTATTTTTTATAATACGTCTAGTATTTAAATTTCTAAAAATCATATATTTTATATCACGTTTTCTCATACTTCAACTTCTAAATTACATAGTATTAATATTAAGAGAGCTATTACCATTGTTGAGATCGACACGGTTACCTAGGCCACCGCGGTTACCTAGAATACCACAACCACCACGGTTACCATGGTACAGAAGAATATCATGGTTTCGTCGTCCTTCATGGTCAGAATTGTTACCATGGATTCCGCATTTACCATTTTTTTCTTGTGTATCATGGTTTTCGTGCTTGGCGGGGTTACCTTCGTTAACAAGTGTGCTAAGGTTATCGGAGCCATCAAGGTCACATTTTCCTGTGCCACCACGGCCTTCAGTTATACAAAGGCTACCTCGATTAGGGCGATTACTATTGTGGCGTTTACCACGCTTCCTATGGTTTTTCGTGTAATCACTGTAACCTAAGTATTTGTAACGTAATTCATAGACCATGGTAATACTTTAGTTCACAGTGGAGTATTTACACCATAAAAATACTAATTTTTTGAAATAAATGAATATTAATATTAATTAAAAAGTATAATTTGTTTTTAAAAGGTTAAAATATTTTACAAAAGTTAATTGAAAGTATAAAAATATAACCTTAAATTGTTTTTAAATTCATTTGAAAACCTATAAAATATTTTTGTTTAGGGTTTTTGTGTAAATACTTCACTTTGCGGCTGTCCTTAAACAAACACAGTTATTAACACTCCTATTAAAATATTATTTTTTATTTTTTTATTGTAAACATATTATTGTGTTTGATAAAAAAAAAATAATATAAATTTTATAAATGTATTTCAATTTCAATGTATTATTTCTATCATATAAATATCGGCTTAAGTAATAACTGTGTTTTGGATAGCCGTGGTATGGTTGGCAAAGTCCTTCTCCACCTCCACGTGGGGCCGACTGGTAACGACTCTAATGGGTCGGCTGACGGAGAAGGCAATATATTATAGTGTAGTGTATAGATAATATCGTTGAAAAAAATATTTCATTAATTTATTTATTATATAAAAGCTACCGTTGTAGGTTGAGTTCGGATTGTTTTTTAAACCATTGACGTGACATAACATTCGGTTAACACTTACTTTTTATGCGATTTAAAACATAAGTACATGTAAGACATAATCGTTTATTTTATTTAACACGATAATAACATGTGTTATACTACTTAAAAAATAAGCTATTGTACAAAATCAAATTACACTAAAAAATAATTTAGTAATGTAGCAAAACACCCAAATACATAGACGTATAGAAATTGCCTATGCAAAACGCCGTTTAAATAACACCGGTTGAATAAGCTATAAGTTAAATATAGTTCTAAGACAAGTATAAGTGTGTTTATTTACTCATTAAATTAATGGTTTAATTTAAATAAATTATTAATATTAATCGTCAAATATAAAAAAAAATAATGATTTGTTTATTTTCTATTCTAAGTAAATTAAAAAAAAACATAACGATTATTAAATACATACGTATTTGATTTATTTAATGTATACTTATGTTTTTAACGATATTATAAATAAATAAATGATGAAAATATGATACTATCATATTTTATTTGAATTTTAAATTAACTAGAATTGTCAGATTCACTCTTCTTTTTTTTAGTTTTATTACTGCATTTGTTAAAATATTTTAAAGGACTCCCTTGTCCAGTAGATGTAGATGGTACAGGAGTTCCAGAAACAATATTAAATTCAACCGATTTTTTATTTAAACAAGTATCAAACTTTTTTTTAAAAAATGTCTTTTTTCTTCGAACTCTTCTCCCAACGATCATTCATTTTCATTGAAAAATGTTTTATTTTTTCTCTCATTTCTCTCAAACACTCTTCAGACATTTTTACTGCATTAAACTTGTTAACAATATGCTTAAATAATTCCTCATTACTTCTATTCTTATTATATTTTTGTCAAACTTCATAAAATCCTCGTCTTGGAAGCGAATACTGTGACTCTAAAATGTAATTTTAAAAATAAAAAATAAGCTATTTGCGCAAAAAGAGTTTCATATATTTTTAAACTACATATATTTTTCTACTTAATAAAAAAAACCACCTTGGTACAACATGGCATATTTTTTTTTTTTTTTTTATTTCCCTCGGCGGCAAAGGCCATTGGGTTACATTAAATTATTACATTTGGGTTACATTGTGCAGAAACAGTACACCCTCATAGACAACTGCATAATTTGGTCTGGGTCATAAAACTAACAAGCCTGTTAATGGCCCCGGGTGAGGACCGAGGGTTTCTGACAGATCCTCCGATATTTCGTTATCACTTCGTTGAGTCTGATATTTTGTGCACTCCGTAAGTATGTGTTTCACCGTTAGCCGAACTCCACATGCTTCGCAGATAGGGGTTTCAGACTTTGACATTAAGAAGTCGTGTGTCAATCGAGTGTGTCCAATTTTCATTCTGGTAATGAGGACTTGATTCTTTCTAGATAAGTTGGTCGGTTGGGTCCATTTGTAAGTGTGATTTTTGATTTCATTGAGTTTTGTATGTAAGGACCTCCATTGCAGATTCCATTCTTGATAATATGTCGATTTGATATGCAATTTTAGGTCGCCCGTCGCTGTGAGAAAGAATGTTGAGAGTTCCTGCCGATTGTGATGATATTGCTTCTTTTGCTGCAATATCAGCTATTTCATTGCCAGCTATGTTACAGTGACCTGGGATCCACATGATTTGAATTAAAAACCCTTGTTTTTGGAGTTTGTACATTAGGTTAAGAATCAAAGTGGTTATGTCTGAAGGATTATAAACGTTGTTCAGGTTTTTTATGACACTGAGAGAGTCACTAAAGATGGTGGATTTCCTTATGTTATTTTCTTTAATGATTTGTATTGCTTGTAATATTGCGATAGCTTCTGCCGTGTAGATAGATGTGAAGTTAGCTAGTCTAAAAAGATATTTTCTTTCGTTCCAAATGACCGAAATACCGACACCATTTCCGTTTTTGGATGCGTCCGTATACATTTTTTCTGATTCATCTAGGTGACATGTTTGTAGTAAAAGATGACTGTACCTTTTTGGATCTGTACACTTTTTTTTGTAAGTTGTTAAATCTGTATTAATGTTTAAATCTGATTTCCATGGAGGGATATCGGTATATTTTTGCATATTTTTGTTATCGTCTAAAGAAAAGTTTAATACAGAAAATTTGTAATTTTGTTAAAAAACAATTCCATATAAGATGTTTACATAAAAAATCACCTTTAAATGATGAATCCATTTTTCACAAAAATCCTGGAGAAAAAATATAAACCTCTTTAAAAATGCACTAGAATGCAACTGATAATGACCAACAGTATCTATAACGATTAAATGGTTAATAGTACTCAATAATATAACAAAACCAGCCAAGGGCTATTATAATGGTCTTGGGAACTGATATAGATAATATTAAGACGTAAACAATTTCATTTTGTCCACCTATTTTTAGCAATCAGCCCACTGTGGGTTGCTTCAACAGGTAACCAACAAATTTTCATTAACTATATATCGTGTTGTTAATTCGCATATTACTAACAACGGCAACTAAAGGAATGCAAAAATACAATTAAAATTGCAAAATTCTAATATAAATATACAATTTTGAACACATTTTTGCTTTCACCGATATTGAACATTCCTACCATCTAGAGATTCGCGTCGGAGCGTTTATTTGAAAGTGATAACACTTTGTTCATCCACGTTAGGCCCCAATCCTTAGTTTACTGGCTTTTGTTTTACTAATTTTATTGTTTTCTGCCATACGCTTGAATAAATGACCATTTCTTTTTTCGAAGAATAATACAAAGCATTTGAAACATAAAAGGGATGACAAATTAGAAAATTAAATAAAATTCTAGTCATATTTGGTACTACATGGCCAACACGGTTTCACTATTAATCTGTCCATGTTAAATATTGAAAGAAATGTGTCAACAAAATAACATCTTAAGTCGGTACTGTGTAACAAATTGTCACTTGGGTATATATTATAGATCATCTGACGTGGCGGCAGAGGAGGTGGTCGTCCTCTAGTTGTTATATAAGGTGGGTCTAGGGTTTACTACTTATCGTATGAACCACCTACAATTTGGTAAGAAGGGTCGTTTAACCAGAAAAGTATTTTGAGGAAGGGGCACTAGTTAATTCAAGTCTGAGGGGTAGTATAAATTATTTTATAACGGCACACGTAAATTAAAAAAATATATATATATATTATATATTTTAAAGGGACATATTATGCCCCCTTCTCCGGGCAACAGCACCAGTTCGCCTCTAAAGTCTGAACGATGGTTAAATCGTGATCAAGTAAATAACTAATGACAATAACAATTATTTTAATGTGGATTATTCATTTTTATTTTATTCTGAAATAAAATCACAGATACATAATCTGTGGATAAAATCGACAAATTTGAGATTCATACAGATTATTGTCGAGTTTAATATACAACTACTAATAAAGAACGAAGCATCAAAATGGTAATGAGTCGATTATATAATAATTGTTTTTACATTTTAATTTTATTATCAGCTGTACCTATCAAATATTGACTTGAGCTGCTTTTTTTATCTCTTTGGTTTAAGCAACCATGGTTCTTATCAAATGCTCGCCCCACATCAGCTCTCCTTATGACTTGACTGTCCCGTATGTATGTATGTATGTATATGTATGACAGTATAACTTTTTCCATTCAGCATTTAACAACACGAAGTTTAATTATTATTTTAAAGCAGACAGCATAATACTTTTTTATAGTTTTATTAAAAAGTGCTAAGCTCACGATATTTCACCTTCATATTACAATACAATGTCGCTTAATACCGTTTTTATCATTTTTTAAAATAAATCCTTTTTTACTTCTTCTTTTAGTTACAATAATGTTTCACAAATAACATTCAATTTAAATGTAATCATTTCGAGTGAAATCAAACGTTAATCTTAATTCAAATGCTAGCTACAAATGGATACCAATATCGGGGTATTCGAGAATGCTATCATACAGGTGGTGGTCGAAAGTGTTGTGCCGGATATGATAGTTGTGTCATACACTGCCAAAAATGGGTCTGTTTACCAAGGCATATTGCTGAATAACGCTAAGAGGTAAGTACTTGTAAAAAAGTATTTATCATGTTATTGCGGGATAATGATCATGCGCTCATAACGAGTAAAATGAGTCATTGGATTTTTAGTGGTTTGCTTGTATGTCAAATAGTTACTCGAATCGGTCCATTTAACTGTGATAAACCGTTTTTAACTGTTAATTTTCATGTAACCCCTATCTACATAGTAATTTATCGAATTACTTATCATTATTTGTTGTTTTGTAGGCGTTTCCCGTGTGGAAGTGTCCCATTGACAAAACCAGCGTTATCGCCCAGAAATTGTAAGACTGAATCTGATAACGATGTGTTGTATGCTGTAACTCAACGTTTTACCTATTTCCAAAACACTCCTACCACGTTTAAAAAGATTCCCAACAAAACTAAAAAAGTGAAAAAGCCTATGACTGTTCGTTTACGACCACGGCAAGTGTTGTGTACCAAGTGCAAATCGATTTGTACAGAAAATTCTGACAACGTTGAAAATTCTAAGGATCCTGTTAAAAATGGAACAAACCAATTAGTTCCTGAAGTTAACGGAGATAGAAGATTGCTACGAAGTCAAGGTCCTGTTCCGGAACCTACACCAAAGTCAAAATCCAACTGTATATCCGATATGAAATCGATGTGCCGTACATTAATGCCCAATATTGCTAAACTTAAACCTAGAGAAATAACGGACGCATTCAACAAGTACCCGACTTTAACCGAGATAGTCGAGTGGGACGATAACAAAAAAGACTGCGAAGATGACTGTGATAGTGAAGACAATGATGAAGAATCGGCATTTCAAAAGAAACCTATTGTAGGGTCGGTCGAAGATTTATGGGATGACACTACTGTAGAAGAGACAAAAAAAACCCCAATTATTAAAATAACGTTTGGATCTCAAGGTGAAGGTACTGTTATGGAAATACCGTCTAGACAAGCCGATGGTGAAAGCGAACCAAACAAATTATTACGTAAACGAGGTAAACGTAGACGACAAGATGGTGAAAAAAGGAAAAAGCACAAGAAAAGACATAAAGAGCATGAAAATAATCCTGACATTAACAACATATCGTTTGACACAAACAATTTAAACGCAAAAGAGGAATACAACATAGCAACGGAACCCAATGATGACTATGAAACTAACGGTGAACATTATGATGAAACCAAATCGAATAGCTCACACAATCTTTTGATTATTCCAAAATTGGAACCGGACGAAACAAATTCTTGTTTTGTTTTAAAATCGGGAAAAGTTCTTCACGAAGGCGATATTGTTTGGGGAAAAGTCAAGGGTTTTCCTTGGTGGCCGGCAAAAGTATGTTTAAAATCTATTTTTATCTAGTTTATGAATTAACTAAACTAATTAAATGAATTTCTGTTACTAGGTATCAAATTTTGCAACAAATAACGGTGAAGAACATGGTTCGTTTGTTAATGTCACTTGGTTTGGTTCTTCTACTAGTTCATTACTTAACTGCGATCAGATCAACCCGTTTTTAGATTTTTATAAGGTATTTTAGGCGATTACATTATTCAGTTTGTAATTTGTAATTGAATGTTGTTTTTTTTTATTAGAAAACATTTATAACAATTATATATATACAGGGTGGCCCACGAAGATTTGACAAATTAAACAACTTTTGTTCTAGTCAATATTTTTGATTTTTTTTTTTTAAATAATTTATACTCATTTGCGCTATAAGCACCGTGGTTTTTATAGCTCTTACCGGTTTTACTTTATTAATAGTTTTTTTATTTTTTTCAAGATAGCCATTTTTTTCAAAATAATTTTACAAAAAGAATTGGCGAAAAAAATTTGGATTTTTATTCATCCGTTCAAAAATTATATTCATTTGAAAGTGAGGATGACTGATGACGGGAGGTGGAATGCGGTAGAGTAAACCGCGTAGACTTATTTTTATCAGTGCGCGTTACCTACCGCACTCCACCTCCCGGCATCAGTCATCCTCACTTTCAAATGAATATAACTTTTAAACGGATGAATAAAAATCCAAATTTTATCGCCAATTCATTTTTTAAAATTATTTTAAACAAAATGGCTACCTTGAAAAAAATAAAAATATGTAATAAAAAAAAAAAAAACTATTAAAAAAAGTAAAACAGGTAAGTGCAATAAAAGCCACGGTGCTTATGGCGCAAATGAGTATAAATTATTTAAAAAAAAAAAATCAAAAATATTCACTAGAACAAAAGTTGTTTAATTTGTCAAATCTTTGTGTGCCACCCTGTATATACATGTATTAGAAATAAGGAAAGAATTTTATTAAAATGTCATTAATAATTATTTTATTAATAAAATATTACATTTTTTTTTAGTCGCGTTTTAACAAACATAAGAAAACGACAAGCTATAAAGAAGCAATTAAACAAGCTATGGCCGAAGCCAAACTACTACAGAATACTCCTACCAAAAATGAAAGTTAATGTTTGCAGATTTTTGTGAGTTTATGTTATTTAATGTTAATTTTTAATTTATCTTATCTAATTGTAATCATATTTTTCTTCAATACTTATCTTTTTCATTTGAATTTGTCATTATTATTTTATTTATATTTATATCATTTATCGTATTTTTAACTAGTCCTTAAAACAAAGCACAGGTTTGCATCACAAACTTTTAACAAAAACGATTTTAGATAATATTGAACCACATACTTTCAATAGCTTTTAGTAAGCTATTATATGTTCATAAAAACACAGGTCGAATTTTTATTTTAAAAACAGTTCCTTTCTTTTTAATGATTTTTTATAGAATTTTAAAAGTGTTATTTTAAATAAGTTTATTTATAATGCTTTGTTTTATTATGAAACAACAAATTTAATAATTGCTAAAAATTACAGTTGAAAATATGATACAATTTTACAATTTTGTGACAATAATAGCTTACTTGAATTATCAAAGTGTTAATATGAAGATTAAAATATATTTGTTAAGTATTACACGGGAAAACATACTTAATTAACTAAAAATAAAAACAATATTGTGCTCTTTCATTTTGGAAATGTGAAGATCTAATATTCTATCTTTGTAAATCTAATATTACAGGGTTTAATTATTTATTTTTATATAAATATCAACAGTATGAAATTTATATATTTTTTTTCAAAGCCCTTATCAATATTAAGATTTTAAATTAAAACCAATATGTTTAATACTTTTTTTTTTTTAAGAGCGATCTGTTTGAAATATTTGTTTTCTATTGTTACAATTAGTTTTAAGTTACTCTTGAAAATCAGCATTTCAAACTGAAGAAATGTGCTAATTATATCAACAATTATGATCAAAACAAAAAAAAATTATATAACATCTTTTTGTCCTTACTTTATTTTTTAGCGCTTATATCTCTAAAAGTTTTTTTCAGAATTGTTTATCGACCAGTTATATTAAATGTTATGTAAAATATTATTTATATATTATTCTTAATTTAATTATGTAGGTAACATTAGTAAAAATACCAAAAGAATTTCAAAAGTAACTGAGTTTTAAAAGGGGTACAGTTATAGGAAAATTGTATGTAATAAAAAAAATAACTACTATGACTAAAACAAAATGTCAATTTCTTCTGAGAAATTGGTGTCTTGCTTTTAATCATTTGAAATCCACCTGATACTACTGATAAAATTTTTACATTTATTATATTTATTGCAAAATCGAGTTTGTGGAGTTTTTTCCTACGTTAATAATCTTTGTTTGTTATTTTGAACTTAGTTTTGATTAAAAGTCAAATGAATAATTTTTTCAGACTTCTTTGGTTTTGATTATTTTTATTTTACAAACAATTGAGATTAATATTAAATTGGTTGAACTATACAATTTGAGTATTAACGTTACAACTCCCATAAATTGTTTTCTGTCTTTCATTAAAGTTATTATTGTATAAAAAGAATAAAGTTTTGGGGAATTTTTTTAATATACATTTTATAAATAAACTACTTTATCTCTGATTAATACAGATACAGTCTGATGTATACTTTTGATATTATATAAATATTTTTTTTTTTTATGTACAAAGCAGAGTAGGATTAACATATCTTTACTACCTCTAAAATCAATGGGTATATTTCTGGTATTATTTGTGATATGTTTACTTTAGCCTCGTGGTAGGATATAGCATATTATATTTTCAAGTCGTTAAGAATACAGACTTTAACCACTTAAAAATTATTTTATTCAATTATTCTTCATAGTATTGTCTATTCGTTTTAATTGTGACTGTCTTCGAATTTAAACTATTCTGACGAGTAGGTGGTGCTACGCTCAAATATTTGAAAGTCACCGATCTCATGCCAGTTTTTTTACCGTTGAGTGACGTAGAGACGGGTGGTATAATACGGATTCGTCAGACCATCTTAGCTATGATGAAATATCTCTTTTTGTTGACTACAAAATAACTGTATGTGAAATCGGTAGCTTTTTCTAATGGTATAACTCGACTTGTATGTAATTTTTCAATCAATATTCTTGAATAAATTTTCAATATCGTTTGTTTTTGAAACGTTACTATAATGTATTTGCAATTTATTCGAGACGCTTATTTTAAGAGACTTTTAATATCAACAACTAGTAGCAGAATGATACAATAAATAATTTAAACGAAAAAAAAAACATCCAATTTTGATTTATAAATTAGATATATTTAAATATTCAATTAATTTACTCAAAAATTCATACATTTTTTTTACTTTTTTTTTTTGTATTGATATAAAAAAAAAGTTATAAATTTCAACACGAAAAAAACAATTTTTTTTACCTACTTTTTATTGTTTAAAAATATTTAAATAACAAATTAAAGTACATTTTAACGAAATGGGTATTATATATGATTATCAAATGTTATAAAATAACCTACCGATAACATTATATAATCTACTAGTATTTATTGTTGTTAAACTGTGATTATTATGTTTTTGTAATCTATGTATAATTAATTTAAAAAAATACATTTATAATATTGTAATAATGTCTTTCTTAAAACCAACAAACAATATTAGCTATGTATAATATACTTAAGTATACCAAAGAATAAATATGACTAGAATAAATCAAAGTTGTCGTCACAGTTACCAAATAAAATATATATTATATTTCAATAATTTCCAATATAATACTTTGATAATATTGTTCTCGAAATAAGAATTTGCTAAGTTAACAATATTATTGATATACAATAATGTAAATTATGTAAACTGATTATTTTAACTAAAAGTTATGTATTCTGGTCTTGCATTTCACAATTATTATTATTTATTGGATAATGATAACTTTTTTGTTATAAGAAAGGGATTTTTTTTTATATATATATATATATATATATTGCTTGACTATTTGCAAAATTTCATTGTTTTTGTTGTTCAATTTTTAAATATTTATACTAAAAATGTATACTTAGCAGTTAATCAGGAAATATACACTAAACATAGTCAAAACAAATGTTATCAAATTTTCATGAATTTAATCTTAAATTTGAAGATGAAACTAGTTTTATTTTAGTTTTTTTTAATCGATATATAATATAATTTTATCTGAAATGTATGATTAAAAAAAAAAAAATATAAGCAAATTTATAGATTAATTTATTTGCATGTAATTAAATTATATTACACATTTTTGATTACGCAATGATTGATTACCTAAAAATCTACTATTTAAATTTTTAAATCAATACATATTCATTTTTCTAGAAAATATTTAATTTTAATGTGTGTGTTAAATTTATGAACTTAAAAACTCAAATTTATAAACTAAACATTGTTTCAATTAAATTTGTTTTTGAAATGGAAATTGCGTTAATACTTACTTGTATCAAATACATATTTTTTTTTTAAAGTTTTCATTTTTACATTACTTTTTAATAATTAAAATTATTATTATTCGATTTATCAATATAATAATTATAGTAAATAGTATTGTATGTGTTGTAGGTATAATACTTATTGTTTGACCTGTTATACTTATAATAATAAATAAGTAAATTGTATATTATATTATTATACATTATAATGTGATATTACATTATTTTTGTTATTTTCAAATTAAAAATAAAACTGAATTGTATAATCAAATATAAACATTATTTTTATATCACCGAATGTTGTTTTATAAATGATAATAAGTTCTCAGTTAGGAGGTTAATATCTTCCTCGTAAAATTTTTTTTATTTCCACAAATTGTTTAACTAATTAATAGGAGTGATGCAAACAATTGCCTATTTAAGTAATTGAAATGATTCAGAGTTTAAACTTTGAACATTTAATGTTCGGAATTTGGAATATTCGATTCAGTATTAAGAGCTAATTGACACATTAATTTAATAGTGTGGTTGGATCTTATTTGTCCGACGTAACTAACTTAAAATGTTTAGCACAATAAGGGAGTACAGGGATGTAATGGGACAAAAATGATTTAAAACTTTTAGCATATAATATTCAAAATTATTAGTAATATATAATCAAATGGGGTTAGCCATATTGTTAATAAAATTATCTGTTACTATTAACGTGTGGCATAACAGTTATGGCACACGTTTATAGTTACTGTCAAATATTATTGACTATTGTATCTTAACTAAAACCATTGTATTCTTTTTTTGCATGTACCTACTCAGTAGAAATTATGTCCTTAAGGGTGGTTCCTAGGTGGATGTTTTGTAAAAGACAAAATATAGGCAATATTTTTACAAAAAAAAAAAATGAATATATTTTTAAGAATTTTTTATCTAATTATCAGTATTACTTGCACTTGCTAGGCGTTGGCGCAAAATTGACCTTTATGGAGTTGTCAACATCCAGAAAATACTAGTAACCAAACTGACAAAAGACTTTTTTTATCCAAATTGTGTCAAAAATCCGTCGAGTCTTTAAAATTGCTTTTGTTTTTAAAATCGTTTTAACTATTTTTTTTTAATGTCAAAAACTTGCCTACCATGTGGACTGCAGGGCGGGGGTGTGGAGAGATAAAAGCCAAAGCACCCATATTAAAAATAGGACCTGTATGTGTTGTAATAGTTAAAAAAAAATTATCAAAATATATAACTCTTTGCTGTGTTAATATAGTCTACAAATGTTAGCTTAATGTTAATAGTTTTATTAAAAAAACTGCCTAAATAAAATATGCCAGTGTAAAGGCCCTTTAAACTATAATATAGGATGATAATTTTATGGTGAACCACAAAATATCTTATAGGGTTTAAAAAGAAATTATATTTTTTTCTTGCGTGGTTTTTATACAATGTGATCTCTATTTTTCACTTTTTTGTTTTTACCGAGTACACGAGTTTAGTAGCCCCTTTAACTTGACGAGGGCTAATTTTTAAATATCGAAAATAATTAAAATTATAGTACTCTTTAGGTTGGACGTGGAAAGTAGTTATATACATACATAGAATGTATAGTATCTTTACACAGATACAATGCCAATTTAAGAGCGAGGGAGAGGCCAAATTGCGCCTACGAATATTTAGTAAAACCGCTAAAACGGCGGCGGTGGTACGTTTGGTATATTGTTAAATGACAATTTTTTTAATTAAATGTTTCAACACATTTCAGGTTGGCGAGCGGCGGGTTCGGTTATTGTCGTCGGATTGGCTTAGATTTGCGCAGAGAGCATTGCATATAATACTATAAAATATGTACCTACTAGTTTATTAACGGCTATAATAATACAATATACAGACGTGGGGTTGCGGCGACGGGCATGCGCTTTGATTCGTGTACCACCCCATGCTTAAGTCGTACAATCACCCCATATATTGCTATACCGGGGATAGCTATGTGTACATATTATGAAATCCCTGGTTTTGTGATACAGAACAGTATAAAAGCCAATAGTTTCGTTTCGTATCAGCTGGGGCCGTTTGGCTTGTTTTTATTTTTATTCCTCGTCAAATATCGTTATACGAAAACTACCGCGCGGTTTTTCCATATATATACTTAATTTTATGGTTTTCCAGGTATTTGATTCAGCCGATTGGAATCGCGTTGAATAAACACCTCAAAATTATATAAATTCATTAACAAGATGATTGCAAAGCACAACGAGTATCTGGTCACGATAACGACTTGGTCGTACATAAATTACAAACACTACAACTGAGCATAAGAGTACAATATGGTGGTAATTGCTTATTGTTACCACCACGGACTACTGTTTTGATCCTTGCCTGTTGTCTTCCTGGTTTTCCGTGCAAATGATGAAAGCCCGTAACCGTTTGATCCTGTTGATGCTCACTTGTGCTTTTATTGTGAGCATATTTTTTTTTACATTCAACAATTACAAACAGACCGCTCCTAACGCCCTGGTAATTTTCATCAACTATCAGATTTACATATATTATTGCAAACAAATGATAAACTATTTGAATTATGTGATTTCGCAGGTTGAATCTTATGGAGGTAAACCCGCGAAAGTGACAAATCGGCAAAAGCAAATCGTCCAACAGCATTATAATATTATTTTGCCTCCCGCTGTGGAACGTATGTTACCTGGCCATAACGGAATAATTCCCAAAGATGCCGTTTGGCAAACTGTTCAGTCAACTAAGTAATGATAAAACCATTTTAATTTGTATCAAGCGTTACATAGTTTTACAGATACATAACGGTTGCATTTATAACCGACTGCAAACTAAAATATGTAGTATGGAAAATATTTAACCCTACGCTGCATGAATAATTATTAATTTATTCTTTTAATACAAGGCACAATTTTGCTAGAAAGTTTGTGTGCTTAGGCACCAAAAATATTATATAATCCATTCCTTTGAAAACTTAAGGTTACTTCCCGTTTTTAGTTTGTGAATTGGTCTGCAGCATTTCTCAATTTTGTCTTACAAATATATATATGTATATTCAAAATTCAATTACCTATAGTATATAACCAGTGGTGAGACACATGCCTTAGTCGAAGAGGAAATTAAAAAATATTGTGCTTGATATTTGTATAAAAATATTTACTAGTATTTCATTTCAACAAAACCATTTTTTTATCCGCTTTTTGTTTGGGTAGACGTTATCTCGTTGTTTCCTATAATGCTTTGCCACTGATTATATTCTATTAAGTTGTATGTTTTAAATAAATCATTATTAGTGATTTAAATAAGATAATATTTCTAAAAACATTTTTTTTTCGTTACTATACAGGTACAAATTTTTTATTTATTCAGCCTACTTGGACTTGAGGATTAAATCTGTTGGGCCATTAGTACGGCTCATCGGTGCTACTAAAACACGAAGACCAGATACAGTGTGGTGTAGATTGTGGTATTCAAACAGATCAAAAACAGTCTCTGCTATTGTAAAGACGATTCGTGAAAACTGGAATCTCAAGTACAGTGCGGTTTTTGTACTATGTAAACTACCACAAGACGGGACTTATCCATTAAGCGTATCAATAGTATCTCATGTCAAAGACTCCATAACTAATAGAGTGCATGTACAAGTACCGAAACCAAGCAGAAAATTTAAGACTGAAATAGAAATTTGCATTAAACCGTTACATTATTATTATGATAAAGTAATTACTCTTATATTTATGTATATTATTATATTTGATGTCGTAAAAGAATATTATAAATGTATTCATTATTTTAGGCAGTGCAACTCATGGAGTTTGTAGAACTCAACTCCTTACTTGGTGTCGGACATTTCACACTGTATAAAAACACAATTGGGCCAAACGTTGAATGTATACTTGACCGGTATAAAAAAGACAATCTTGTTTCCATTTTGCCTTGGCAAATCGATATGGTGTCCAAAAAGGAAATAAGAACCGAAGGAATGTTTGCAGCGCTCAACGATTGCTTGTACAGAAATATGTATAAATCAAAATATGTCGCATTTTTAGACATAGACGAAATTATTATGCCAAAACAGAATAATACTCTAATTCAATTTATCAGGTATGAATACACTTATATGTTTTATTTTTAAATTAAAATGTAATCAATATTAAAAAATTAAACACCTATTATTTTCAGTCGACTAAACATGTATCAAACTCCAGCTGCATATTCATTTCGTAATGCCTTTTTTTACATGCAATGGGCCGACGACGACAGTTTACAAACTGAACAGAATTCATTTCAATCTAACCTAATAGTTTTACGCAAAACTCGTCGGAAAACCAAAATACATCCACACAAACAACGGTCAAAATACATTTGCGATCCTCGGAAAGTAGTCGAAGTCGGAAATCACTTTGTTTGGGAGTTTTTGAGTTCCGGACATGATGGAACAAATTACATACCAGCAGAACTAGCATTGCTTCATCATTACCGTGTGTGTGAATACGGAGGAGACGATTGCGTCACAGCAGATTCTACTGTAGATCGTACGGTGCACAGATACAAAAACAAATTGGTCGATAGAGTCACAAATACTCTATCCAACTTGGATACACAATGCCTAATAGAAGCTCAAGCGAATACAAATGATACATTGTACTTTTCAAATTAATCATGTTGTTATGGGTAACAAATAAAGTGCTTCCAATAAACTTAAAAACGTACATTTGATGAATAATTTTAGTTACTAATGAGTAATGACGATAGTTTGATTATTATAATTTATCTTATATGCATTGAAGAATCACCATTGATATTTTAATAGGCATAGAAGTATATCCTATAAATACCCTATAATTGGCTAGTATAAAAAAAATACACATAACAAGAAAAAAATATAAATTTTAACTTTTTGATATTTGAATAAAAATTTTAAAATTTTATTTCGTTTGAGTTAGTAGTTGAAAATGATATATACAATTTTTGAAAAACCCGCTAACTGAATTATATTTTGTTTGTAGTCTGAACTCAAAATAATTGAGCCATTGAAAAGGAAGGGTTTAAAATAATTTTAAATATCTGAAATCTGATGACTAAATTAAATGTTTCAGGCTGGATGTCCTGAAATGTACTCGTTATAGTTGCTCGTAGGATACAAATTATATTTACTTATAACATTTTTTTTAAAAAATACATTTTTTTTATTATAAGTATACATTTTTCTATTTACTCGGTGAATGATCGAGTATTTGAATTACAAACAATAGTCATGATAAATATATGAGCATAAACAATTTTTTTTTAATAAAACTTAAATATTGGCTGTTGGGTACTTAAAATAACTTTAAACAAGTACATTATATAAACATTAATTGAATTAAATTAAAATCTCAATTTTAATTTACTTAAACATAAGGATAACAATTAATAAATCAAAATAAATAGCTAAGGAACACTTCAACTAAATATCTTCAATATTGTCTTTTAATGTAGAAATATCAATAACGTCACAATCTATGAGCTTGTTACTTCTGGAACACTGGTTCATGTATTCAGCAGTTTGACTCAAAAGGCGCTCATTGAATTTTACACCTTGATTACTTGCAAATAGCACCTTATTGATATCTTCTGCGATTTTCAATGAAGTCAGTTGTTTGAAATTAGTTTTTAAAATATTTAAAATTTCTGTTTTGACATCAGTAGCGCGACAAACAAAATTTAGTAAAAATAGTCCTTGTTCGTCAATCAAATTTTTTACACAATCTAAAACATCTCGAGTCAAAAAACTCTTAGGAGGTCCGCTCAAGCCCATCGTTGGATCTTTGACATCTACATCGTAAATAACGACATCAAATTTTTCACGCTGATCGGCTGCTATTTTTAGGTATTCTAGTCCATCGCAGATCTTGACGTCTAATCTATCGCTTTCAACTAAACCAAAAGCTTCTTTCGCTATTTTGTATACAACATCATCTATTTCCAATGCAATAATTTGCACATTTTCATAAATATTAATTAACAAATTGACCAATACTCCTCCGCCCAAGCCGATTAAAAGAACTCTAGGTACTTTCAACGGTTTGCTCGCTACGATTCCTACTCCGAGTCCCAAGTATGGTATGTAGTCACTGAGAAAATGTGACTGGTCAATTTTAGTTTCTCCACTTGGAGTTTTTATTAGTTTGGCCTCGGATTGAATAATGTGAGGCATATTTAGGAATACTAAGCGCCTGAATACTTCATTTGTTTGTCCGACTACTTCCTCTACAACGTAGTTACCAGAAAATTCACTCTTATCTTCCATAATGATTTTTCTATCTCCAAGCTGCTGTTCCAAGGACAAGAACAATATAGTTTCACCACGATTTAAAACGCCTTGTGGTGCAATTTTCAACATGAGCCTCGACAATTCCTGTTGCACTTGTTTCAAACTTCTGTAGATTTGACTTCTGTGCATACTAATAATAGCCAAACGGTCTACATTACAATTTCTTCTCAATATTTCTTGTCCTTCGCTGCTATTGAACAACCATTCGTGTTCGCGACCGTGTGGCACAATAAATGCGGCGAATGTCATTTTATTTGGATTTCGTTGTGTGGGCGATTCTACAACTACTATTGTATATCGAGGAGTTTTCGTTTGAGAACAATTGATTTCAAAACAATAATTATTAAACTTATCATTCATTTGGCATTTAGTGAGATCATAACACATGGAAACAGATTTCTGAGTATCTAAAACAATTTCCAATAAATCGCCGATTGAACTTAACCTTTCGTTTGTTTGGCCATCAGGATTCCACTCAAGAATCGGATGGGCACCCGCTATTTTATTTATTTTGGTGCAGACAACCATAAATACAGGTTGACCATTGAAATCGGAAGAATCTTCAATTTCCGTACATTGGCATACTCGAATTATCCAACCTTGTTCACTGAAATAGGTGAAAAGAAACTTGGCGATATGACATTGAAGTAAAGACACACATATATATCGGCCCCCAAACTTTAGGATCCTTTTGATTTCGGTGAACATCAACATAGCGCGAGCTATCGATTCCATTTCACCGTCGGGCATCAAAGCATCTAATGTACCTTTATCAATGACGACGCTAAATTTCTCATCGGAGTATTCCGTTTTCAATATATCTTTCATTTCGTACACCAACCCGGGGTATTTCTGTTTATGTTTTTTATTCATATTTGCGATTACCACTTCGCTGTTATCGACGCTCACCACATTGGTAAAACCATCTTTATACAGCTGAAGACTTAGATCGGAATTTCCGCACCCCGACATTAGTATTACATCTTTAGCACTTATATATTTAGTGAGCAAGCGTTTTAAATTATTGTAATTACCGTACCATTCGAATGTAGCCTCTCGTTTAGTGAAAAACGAATCCCAATATTCAGGTTTACTGAAATCGCTGGTTTTCTCTGGTATTAAATCCATCGTTATAATTTTCAACGCGATTTGAAGTTAACAACAGAAGACCGACGTTCAAACATCCGAAAAATTTAACAACATAATATTATATTATTATTACTTAAATTTAAAAGTATAGCTGACCTACACTCCAATGTGCATGGTGTGATCCATGCCCTATGGTGTGATGTGAGCCGATTGCCACTATCGCATGCATTATGAGATAACAAAATTTGTTTACATGAAGTGTTTTAAAATAATATTATCTTAAATCTAGCATGTGATCGCTGACTGACTAGGTATATAAGTTATAACTCAGTTTTAAAACTACTCGTCAAAATATTATTTATTGTAGTTTCAGGTTTGAAAATTGTACGTAATGTAAATAAAAGATTATTTTTATTATAATTTATACTTATTATTTATTTAATACCATCTAAAAATTGCTATTTTTTTAGGTAGTTTCAAGCTATGACTGAATAACACCTGTATTCTACACTCCTAGCCATCGCCAAAACTTCAGCTATTTCAACTGTATGTTGCTAGAATGTAATTCAATTAGTAATTAAGTTGATTTTTTCATGATTCATTAGGGCAGGTGACAATTTTTATTACTTAGTACTTTTTTGTTAGACACTAATTTTTTTAAGCTTTTTAAATGCATTCTATACTATACATTATATTTCCCTATGTAGGTTTTTTTTCTGTATAATTAATGATGGTTTGTTTTAATTAATTACTTTGTTAAAGTATATTATGCTTTATGTATACTCTATACCCATTTGGGTGTTATATTTTAATAAAAAAAAAAAACATACATTTAAATCAATAGGTAAAAATATCACCCAATTCACTAAAAATCTACTAATATTTCACCATGACACAGAGATCTCATGTACAGTAATCGAAAATACGAGGTATAAAATAGCTAAATGACATAGCTAATTTCAAGTATGTTGTCCATTAAATCGGATGTGGCCAATTTAATAGACGTACTTCAAGGGTTCCAAATAATCATCGATTTATCCTTTCAATTTATTTTGCTGTCAGTTGTAGGTAAATGAAGACATTTGAGGACGCAATTTTTACTTTCAAACAGATTGTTTCTTATGTGCTGTATGCTTAGACGAAACAAAAACTAATTGGGAATTTTTGAAAAAGCTGCTGATCGACCACACACTAAAAATATTAACAAAGGATGGTGTCTTTGTCGTATTCAATCGGTCAAATGCCGTGTGAGCCAGTATCTTCCAAACCAGAGTCGAAAACACTTAAGTTTATTACTTTTCCGTACCTGTTTATATTTGATAACATACCTACAAATTTGCAAACAGAGTGGTCACTGGTATTGCTATTTTCCTCATATTCAAGATGGAGGTTGAAGATGTACTGCTGAATAACTAATAGAACTACTTAAAAATGGAGCATCTTCATGGGCTACAACAAGCCAATTCTTCATATTGAGCACAGTTCTTAAAGAACTCTGTATTGATAGGTGATGTAAGTAAATTTTACGTGATATTTAAGTATAATTGATTTTTAAGTTTTATTATTAATTTGATTATAGTTGTTAGCGAGAAAATGTATTGGTTTTAAATATGTCTAGTCAATATAATATCATTTATCGCAAGCATTTTCAAGGTTATCAAACTTTTTAAGCGTATCCAAAGTTAATAACTTTTCTTAAGATTTGTATTTTTAGGATTTGAATTTAGATCTAAAGTTAACTATCATTAAGCAATTATTAATTTTTGAAAATTACACCTGTACATTGTTAGTTCTGAGAAATAGAACCCTGTGATATTTTACAATGTTCTTATACCCAATAAGAATCACAAGTTTACTATTTTAACAATTTTCAAGTTCATAAGCTTATTTTTAAGGTTTTAACCAATATTTTTGTTATTTCCCTAAAGAAAAATGCACTAGTGATGCCTCAAACCGAAAAAATCATCAAATACAAGGTGGATATTTAGAGAAAGTGATGGAACTTGGCGAGTTAAATGTTTTGACACCCAAAGTGACAACAATCCGAACTTAGAATATTGCCATTAAAAAGAGTTGCAAGAAATGAAAGATGCTTTTAAAATTAACAACGTCTACCTGGATATACACACGATTGTAATGTTAGCTTTGGAGCAACGGGGAGAACTCTTAACCACTAAGATAGTACCTGCTGTATAGACTATAGCCAGGGCTAATATCTACTGCCAACGTCTGAGTTGTGGAGGAAGATCCTAGAGTCATCAGTCCGCTAAAGGTCGTACTGCCAAACTGTGAGCCTTTAATGCCTAACGACCATTGTCTAAAAATTTTACCACCGGCATTACCTACAAACTTGCCCTAAAAACTACATGTCAAAGTGTTTTAACTGGACGCAATGCTCCAATGGAGGTGACTGTCCTGCGGCTTTTTTTTCCATCTACACTTGTATTGTGTGTGTATATTTAAGTTTTTAGTAATTTTGTTGTACATAGTGGATTAGGCCTATTGGGGATACCACTTAAAAAAAAATATAACAATAATGTTACTTATTAGTGAATACTGAACTATGGAAAAAACTTTAATGCTGGACTATAATAATAATCACAATAGAGTACATAATAATTTGTGGAAAATATTATAGGCTTAAGTTAGGTTACATATAAATATATAAGCTTATAATAATTATTATTGTTCAATATGTATACAAACTAGTGTTATCTTGGTTTATTATCGATTTAGATACAAGACAAACACCTTCATACATTAGAAATATCGTTGACCATAAACTAATTTACTTTACTTGCAGGGTTGTCAGGTGTTTTACTACCAATTAAGATGTATAAGTCGAGTTTTCTACACATAGTATGAACAGGTTAAATCATATACACAAATATATTTGTTTAAAGGAAATTTCATATTAACACTTTTAAATTTTTAATATAAAAAAAAATTGGTTTATATATATATAAATTTGTTTCTAAATTATCTATTTCAGTATAAATTGTATTCCTAAAGCTAAGGTCAATAATAAACAGAGGTTATATACTTGAGCTGATGCGCCATTGCATAGATCACCATGGCAAAAACACATGAAAACCTTCTTGTATTCCCAGACGGTATCATCACAGCGTTCTTCACTGTCCGATGGTCCTCTTTGCAAACAAGTCCTTTGGGTTGCGGTGTCGAATTCTTGTTCTTTAGCGTCAACATCTCGTGTTTCGATTATTTTCCCACACCATCCCGATGCGCAAGGTACGACTTCTGCTCCAATGCCCGGTTCTGCATTTAATTGAGAAATGTTGGTATATTTAAAACGGTCTTTACAACTTCCCAAATCCCCTCGAGAACGACAACTAAAACAACGTTTTACAACACTTTCGGAAAAGTCTATCAACACCGTCAATAAAAATATACTGAAGGCAATTTTGTAAAACATGATTGTGTTAATATGTAATATTGTTACTGGACTGCCATCAAGGCACTTTCACTTTTCTCTAGTATGTATATTCACTGTAAAAAGGGCTTTTGACAGGAAAATTAATGACGGTCGCGCATAATGATCAAAATGCTAATATTTTGTTATTATTTAGTGAATTTAATGGAATTTTAATAGTATTTTAAAGACTAAGTTCATTTAGTATGGTAATAATTGAAATTTCGAATATCGGAAACTAAAAAGCCATAAGGTGTACTCGTCATTCGGCGTTTATGGTTGATGTGCAGCAACATTGTAAGTAGACTCACCTTTAGTGAGCATACCACTGAATAAATTACATTTATAGTATATTCTGATTTATGTGTATACGGTTATACTTTTTCGTGTACGGAATCCCCCATCAAACACAAAAATATTTGTATTTATTCATAATATTTACCATTGTGAAATGTGAATACGGCACTATGGAGCAAGGACTAAGGAGTATTCTTATTGATATCTTATGATATCCTTTAATCGTCGAACATGATAAGTCATGTCAAAAAAACAACAGGTATGTCAGCAACTCGGTGATAAGCCAAAAATGGCTGCCAGTGAAAATTGATAGCACGAGCTACCGACATACCTGTTCACGTCTTAGTCACAGATAAAGTGTTTTTGAAGATTCGAATATTTTCGTTTGCATATTTGGTCACAGTGTATAAAAGATAAAAGGCCTATTATCCGAAGTCGAATTATTGGTTATTACCACCACAGGCAAGAATGCGAATGGAATCTGGATTCTGGAAACATCATCAGTAGACTGTAGAGTGTAGACAGTACAGCTAGTTAAGTTCAGTCATTTATTTCGTCTCAAAGCTGCAAAATATCTTATTTTTTTTAAATTTGTATACATTTTTCGATTTAAAAACTAATTAAAAAAATACATTATGCCCATTAGACTTTAACGCATTTACTAGTTAAAATAATTAGTTCAATAATACCTGTTGAAACTGTGTGAATTTATCAAAAGATATGGTACACATTCGTAAATAAGTAAGAAATTTGCAAATTTTAAAAATATCATAGATTAAAGTATGTGAACGTTCAGCATTTTCAATTATAATTGTACGATGGATATTCGGACGACATTTAATGTCTCGTCCACACTAGCGAGCTGAACTCCGAATTGCTGCCAAACGTGATACTACTAAATCGTACACTGCGATCCATCTAATGTTGGTATTTTGATGATCCTTAGACGTGTATGTTGCTGTAACATGTTTGTGTTGCAGTTTAAAGTTCGAAACATTATGTAAACGAGGCTTTAAAACTACAAATAAGCCTTACAGTAGTACAGTGTTTGCACCAACAATTTTGCTTCAGTAATCATTCAATGAAAATATAAATTTAAAATTTACTTTTCGGATGCCAAATTGAATCTATTTTCTTTAGATTTCAGATTCTATCCGTTTGTATGAATTTTGCATTAAATTCCAAATAACAATACCATCAATTTTGTACGACATTGAGCAATACAGTGCAATTAATTATAAAATAACAGTAAGCACAAAAGTATTAAGATTTAGTATTGTAAAACCCCGCTACAAAATATATGATAGTGTTATGTAGTTATTATGTTGTAGTTTTAATGGATTATTGTACTTTTCTCAGTTCAGATTAGTGACTTGGTTATGGACTTATAATTTATGTAAAATTATTTGTTGTTCATTGCAATACCTTACTTTGTTATCGGTATTATTTTATTTACTTCTCAATTAAGTAAAGACACTAGAAAATGAACACATTCTCGTGTGAACTTTACAATATGTGTATTAAATTAACGTTTATAATTAAAAATTGTATTATACATCTATACTTGTTATCTATTTATTGTAATTTAAAATACTAAATGTTGCGTTTTATTTTATTACAGTTTAATCTACTTTATTTGCCTTAATTGAAGAAATGAACGACACAGATCACCAAAATGGGATGCATTGTTTGCACTCTCCGCGACAAATTTCAGAGGTTAACTTTTTGCCACCGTCGCCACCTGCAGGGCTAGCATCACTTTATATGTTATGTAAAAGAATATACCCCGATCAATGTAATCCATTACAAGCTACCACTGTAGTCAAATATTGGTAAGCTATTTTTTTCCCCTTATATATATATATATAAATAATATAATAATTAGATAATTTTTGATAAGTATTGAAAAGTAGTAATTTTTAATTTGAATGAAATACTAAATTATTATAATCTACTATTTGACATCAAAATATTATCTGTGGATAACCATAAAATTAAATGAACATTGAAATGTAAAATAAAAATAAAATCATTTAAATATGTTTAGTTAGTTATTACAAATAAAAGATAAATATTTTCTAGAATTGGTCACAGATTTACATTTAATTAATGTTTTCCAATGTTTCTATTTCTTAAATGTATTTCTTCTTTTATAAATTGAAGCTTGCATTCACATACATAATGGTGTTTCCGTTCCACTTTTTTTTTTTTAAATGTGTTATATATTTTTCAATTTTTGTTGTAAAACGACGGGAAACCTGATGTGTATACCTCATCATTGATATATTGTATTGTAATTTACATTTTTTATTTCAGTTAGATTGAAAAAAGTCCTGTGGTTAAAAAAAAAAGAAAAAAAAAATACCACTATAATTTATGTGGAAAAGGGTGGTTCATTTCCTGTCTCTATATTTAGTACACACATGTTTTGCATCTAGTATGGGTTGGTAACTTATTGTAAATGGGATACGAAAATAACTCAAAGTATTAGTTAGAGTGTTTGAAATTTAAAGTGTACTTATTTGTTCTCACATTAAATAGCAAAAAATGACTTATTCTGTTCAAACATTTTTTTATTTTATCAAATAAGTATTGAATTGAAATACCTAGTCTACAATCTTAAGTATACAATCGAAAAAATCTTAATACTTAAATTACAAGTTCATATAAAATTAAAATTTGTTAAGGACCTGTTTATGTTTACTAATTTCGGTTTTTGTTGATTTTTTTGAAATGCAAGGTCAACATAAGAATGCTATACTTTTTTGGAATCATTATAATTTTGTAGATTTCAATTTTTTTTTCGATAGTTTTTGTGGGTTTTTTTTACAATGTGTATTATACATTCTATAATTAACCAGTCAAAAATTTCATTAGATTTTTAAAGTTAATGAATTGGAAAAATATATAGTAAATTATAAACTGTAATTTTAAAAAAAAATCTGTAATTGCAGATTACAATAACAAATTTATTGTCTAAAAAACATTATTTATATTTAATGGCTTTTACCATTTACAATTTCCCAAGGAATCATTTATTTGAAAATGATGTTATCACTTTCAGTTCTAGTGATTTCTGAAGACCTGAACTTCTTTCATCCAATAATATACTATGTGCTAGCTTTTTTAACACAAATTAAAAATTATTGTTAATTACAATTGTGTATACTTAACAACATATATTATTGTACACTAAATATTATATATTTTTTTTTATACACTCGAGATTACATTTAAATTTTGTACTAATGTTTTATTTAAAGTTTTGATTTTAATAGTTTGTATTTTTTTTTTTAGGCTCGGCGGACCAGATCCGTTGGACTATATTAGTATGTACAACAATCCAGGCGATCGTATGATAGGTATTCCTCCTCATTGGCATTATATTAGGTTTGAATTATTTTTTAAACTTTTTTATTTGTTCCATTATCATTGTTAAAAAGTTTCATATTTTTATAGTTTCGGATTATCAGATTTACATGGCGATGGCCGGGTCCATAGTACGTCAAATGGTCCGGATGGACCAAGTGGGTTTGGATTTGAATTGACGTTTCGACTACTTAAGGACCCTTCTGAAACTTCTCCACCCACGTGGCCTGCCCGCATGATGCAGTCTCTTGCCAAATACGTATTCAAAACAGGTATAACAAAAAACCTAGCATAAATGCCTTTCAATTTTCAATCAATGTATATTACAACTCTACACAAGCACGTCATTATTGATACATAGTTTTCTCCATTGTATCACTTCAGGTAATACATTATATGCCGGCGATCACGTATCTTGGCACCACGGTTTGGATGGTAGTGAAAGTCGTTTGCAACATATGTTGATGGGGGAAGATCCACAGATGCAAGTCACGGTCACACCTCACGGTGCTGTGAGATTCGTTCAAATTGTCGGCGCCTGTTTGGAAGAGTTACAAGCCGTTCAGAGATGGAACGGCCTAGGAGTATTGCAAATCTTGAAAAGACATGCGATGTATAAACAAAATAATATTTGACTAATTAAAATGGGGAAAATATTTATAAATTCTGATCGATTTTTAACTCAGATCAATGTTTACACACAAACTAACTATTGTGATATCATATAAAAAAAAAACAATTTAGACGTATAATGGTCCACATAATTTCATCATTAAGCCTAAATAAAATGTTATCAAATTTATTTCTCAGTCAGGGGGGGGGGTTATTTATTTTTATGAAAATAATATTGTTTATTATTTGGCACTTATAAGTTATTGTAATTCCTATTACTTTACATTGTCGACATATATGTGAGGTTGTAAACACTTTCTATTATAAACTTAAAATTTGGTATTTTTAAAAAAATAATAAAACCATAACCTAACCTTAGCGATGAATATCAATTAGGTTGTGTTTATTGTGATATAATTTATTTTTGAATTTTGTTGTAGTACCGGAGGCTCGTGGTTAATAACTAATATGCGAAGAGGAGAAAGTATGGTCGACATAGACCCTGCTGTTCATAACGAAGTAGCTGAAGGTATCAAAGTAGAAGGTTCGAATTTATGTGGAATTAGCGCTCATTGTTTGTGGGCAGAAATAAGCGAAAAAAGTAAAAACTTAATATGATTTATTTATTTTAAATCTATGAATACTAATTTTAATTTTAGGCAATTTGACATTAAGTCATCGATCTGTCGAGAGCTCTATAGATAAATTACGAATTCTTAACAATAGTGACACGCCTGCTGGGTAATTATAATTTATTTTTTCTACAACTATAATATCGGATTATTTATTGCAGTCGTAACATTTTATCTTCAACAAATTTTTGATTTCGTAATAATAATATGCTTATAAATAATAATCTAACACAGCCGTCTTACTAATACAGCTTATTATTTTAATAAAAAAAAAATTCTTCATTTCAACCAATACCTTAAGTGAATAGTATAATGACGTTATACTATCACATCAAAATTAAAAATTTCAATTTGGTAGTCTTTTTAATTTATAACTAGCGATATCTTGTCTTTTTTTTATAACATTATGTACAATTTTACATGGAAAAGTGTTTAACGTAATATATTAATTTTAGTTTAATTAACGAGGACGACAATACTAATTATAAGAACTGTGAATTATCCGAATTGGCTCAAGAAAAGTTTCTGGAAAACGTTCACTTAACGTTTAACTTGGAAGCCGGACTTTTACTACCTTTTGTACTCAAGTAAAATTCTATTGAAACGACTCAAATTCAATCATAGCCGTTAAATGATAAAGGGTTATTTTTTTATTTTTAGAGGTCGGATTAGACACGGTCGACATTTCACTTTTAAGTCAATTGTGGGCGATTCGACTATTACCTTTGTGGCTCCATCTGTGTCGGGTTCCGTTGTAACCGAAGAAAAACCGTATGTAGCCCAAGGTTCTTGGCTCCAAGTATTGGTTCCAAACAGTTTCCTCGAAACAATGGAGAACAGTTTAAACTTTCTCAATGAACCAATTTTGGTAAATATAATAATTTAAAAAAAATAACTATTTTGATAATTGTTATAAGATATTATCGAGTGTGCGAAACATTCGTATTTGTCTCATTTTTGTTAACTTAGTATTAATATGATTTTTTAGGAGCCGTTGCCGAAAACTGTATTTTGGTCTGAACAAAATTTAACCATAACCATCAACCCGGATAAATCTTGAAGTTGGTCGGGAGGCGTACGACACTTGCAGTGTGTTTTTGCATTATTTCCTTCAAATATCTAAATACTATCAGTTCCTCTAATATTTGTATCATATTGATTTATTCATTTTTCTAAAACGAGAAATATTATTGTTTTCAATAACAATTTATAAACAGTATTAAGACAATACCACTAAGTGCCTTGTAATTTATTTAAGTATCTTATTATTATTATTATTATTATTATTAAGTAATCGATATTGACTAATATAGTTATTTGTTGTTCTTTTATCATATTATGATTTAATCATATTATGTTTACCTTGAGAATTTGTTTTTAATATTCTATGTGTTAAGGAAAATAAAACTTGTGTAACCTATATACACTTTCCTAGATGTACTTTATGCAATTTAAGCCTAATAGGCAATATTGATTGGACCATGACATAGGTAAAAAAATTTATTTTTTAAATATATGCAAGTATTCAAGCACATATTGCCAATAGTTTAGGCTAATATTATTTGACGAGTACAAAATTTAAAGTCAGCAAAAAAAAAGTATGCTTACTATGTATGTGCTATTAAAAGAGTGATTAATTTTTCTCTTTTGTCAAATTAAACCACCTGTGGTTTATAATGTGTAATTAAACATACCAACTTAAACATTTTTCAAATTAGAGTTTTCAAATTAAATTGTAAAATACATTTAATTATTTATAAATAATATTAAAGAGTAGAATGAATTGGTTATGAATGAATGTATTAGTACTCAATTTTTCCTACTGACAATAATTATTAGTATTATTGCCTCTTGGAGACGTTAAATATGGCCATATGACTAGAATTTTATTTAATTTTCTAATTTGTCATCCGTTCTATGTTTCAAATGATTTGTATTATTTATTATTCTTCGACAAAAGAAATGGTCATTTATTCAAGCGTATGGCAAGAAAACAATAAAATTAGTAAAACAAAAGCCAGTAAACTAAGGGTAGGGGCATAACGGGGGTGAACTTAAAGTGATAAAATCACTTTCAAAAAAACGCTCAGATGCAAATCTGAATGCAATCAGATGGTAGGAAATTTAATATCGGTGAAAGCAAAAATGTGTTAAAAATTGTATTTTTGTATTAGTTTTTTGCAATTAAATTGGATTTTGCATTCCTTTCGTTGCCGTTGTTAATAATATGCGAATCAACAACATTATATAGATAATGAAAATATTTGTTGATTAACTGTTGGTATTGTTGGTAACAACCTGGAAATTTTGAACGGTCAAAATGTAATTTCCCCTTTTTTCGGGATTTTGCTTAAAAAAAAATAGTTCAACCATATGTTTTTTTTTTAATGTATATGTTTTAAAATCATGTTGTAATAAATATATAAGTATGTTAGTATAAGTACGTTAGTTAGGCTATGTCAGTAACGGAAGTATGAAAACAATTTTATTTTGACTTATTGACACAAAGAGGTACATTTTTTTTGGTAGCCGGCTATAATTTGTCGTCAAGATTTTTTATCCATTCTGTGGAGACTAGAATGGCATTAAACATATTAGGTTATTATGCATTTAACATATTAAAGGTTACAGGGTGTTTAAAAAGTTTGAGCAAAAAAAAAAAATAAAGTACTAACATAGACTTTAATAGCAATACATTTTTAAATGTTTCCCGTTTAAATGTCAATAGTTGATACCAGACATGAGCAAACTACTTAAGGTAAAATGTTGTATTGAAGCATTAGATTTACCAACATCCAAAAATTAAAATCTGAAAAACAAACTAATAATCAATAACAGCTTTAAAAATTTCACGTTTTTCAACTTATTGAACACTGTACAGCGCTGTACATTGTCCAGCGAGGGTGGTTTCATTCACTTAAGCTACCCCCAGCTTAAAACCATTATCTTGTTGAAATGTTCATAAAAATGTACTTAAGTTATTAGCTATTGGGTTTACCCGAAAGGATGAGAAAGAAAAAATAATTGTTGATATAATTATTGAGTACATCATTTTAATGAAACGATTATAATATGCATTCTAACATTTCTCATCATGAAACTCTCAACATAGAACGATATTATTTTATAACTTACCGAAACATAAATGATAACTTTACCTTAATAGCACCGAAACTCGCCCAGAAAGGTCGTAGGTTCCTAAGAAAGTCTTCTGGAACTCACAGATCTTTATATACAGTATAATGTAGGTACATGGTTTTAGACTGTGCTTGGTTGGCTTTACTGATCTAGATTTCATTAAATCGGTTGTCATAAATTTATCAAATTCTAAAATGTGTCATTTATATTATATATCGCACACCTAGATCAAAACTGTAGCAACTCAAAAACCATCTTTTTTTAGAAATCCTGAAAAACGTATTTTTAAGTTTAATTACTTTAACTTAAGTTAATTAAACTTTAACTGTTTATTTTAATAAAACAGTTTTGTACAACCAACATACGTGCACGTGCACTCCACTTGGTGTCCAGGCAGAAACTACAATTTTAAACGGTTTTGGTTGTTAGGACTATGGGATAAGTCATTTTTACAAAAGGTACCTAAAGCGTCATATTTTGGAGAGTAAACATAATAAACTTAAATTTGTTTTGTTGGTTCATGCAACTTCGTTTATAGAATCGGAATATACAAATAACTAAAAATACCCACTTTTTGAGTTGTTACAGATTTGATCTAGGTGTGCGATATAGGTAACCTGTATAATTTGCCACGGAAATAAGACACTATTGAAATTGTACCTACTATACAAAATCGATTATTTGTTTATTTATACTTATTTGTCAATTAAATTTAATGGTAGGTGGGATACGCGTTTATTACAAATGCATCAAGTAATTTCTACGGTATAAAAATCCAACTTAATAAGTATATTATTATCGTTAAGGGAAACGGAAAGTGCTAAATTTTATATACAAATAAAAACTAAAACGCGAAGTCACTTTCTGACTTAACGTCTTCTCTACGAGGGCTAAAAGGCCGAAATTTTATTTTCAAAATTGTAATAATATTTTATAGTTTTTTCTAATAAATCTGACTAATTTCGAAATAATAACTAAATCAAAAAACGGCCATTTAGTCAATAATATAGTAAATTTGAAATCGGACCAATACCTTATCTACTCCATAAAACGACTTCTACGAAAGTTATTTCTGATCAAACTTTGGCCACAACTCAGAAAAAAAAAACTTAAATAGTTTTACAACTATAAAACACAAAATTTTTTCTCCCTAAAATTAGTCGGCGTATTTACAGAATGGCTACTATACATTTTGGTCAAATATTGCCTATCATTTGCCCTTTAATAAAAAGCACTTTCCGTTCTCCTCAAACGTACACAAATCAAAGGCAAATGAAAATTTGGTAAAGTCGATTCTTCCATTATCATTGATCGCATACACACAAACACCATACAAACAGGGACCACGGTTGCATAGTATATACTATTTAAACGGGTATTAAGTATAATAGTGTTTCATTCCATTCCAAAGCCTTCGGAGTTGAATATAGCCGTCAACAATTTTTCTTTGAGCCGTCCGCAGTCCTGGTACTGTGGCAACACCAATTGATTAAAGCAAGTGTGAGCCTCGGGTAAGTAGTCCAACCTATTTGGGCCTTTGGTAATTTTGAAATTCATGTCTCCCATCCCGCCGACGGGAACACGATCACTGCCGGTGACGAACATTAGAAATTTTCGTTTTTGGTCGTCCGAAAACGACTCGACGGCATTCCAAAAATCCCTTAAACCCACAAAACGTGTAAAACAGAAACGTGGTTTGCATGGACCGAGATTTTTTTTTTTTTTTGGGGGGGGGGGAGGCTTGAGATTCTAAAAATCTTAAAACTAGTTAAATTAGTGTTACATTTATTTGGATTTCGACGAATCTCTCGCTAAGAAATAAAATATGTAAGCGTTTTGAAAAGTGCTAATTTTAAGTTTTAATGAGATTGCGTGTGGTCTGTTTTTAAGGAGTTTTGTATGTAGGTAATATTTAATAAAAAGTAGGTTATAATGAATTTCGACCATGTCAATATTAAGTTATCGGTTAATTTGTACAAGCTTAGAGGTATTATTATTATTTTATTTTAATTTTTTCTACGAGTAAAAGCCATTTCGGTTTATTTTATACCAAAAAGTGTCGACTACGTAGGACGGTCCAATTTCAGCTCTGTAAAGAGATTCGCATTCTTTGGCTACTTTACTATGTTATGTACTCAGTAGGAAACCGTTTTTAATTTGAAAATTTCAGTTTCTTGTAATTAAATTTGCAATTTTATCAATATTAAAACCTAGTTCTTCTACATAAAAAACAATCAAAAATCTGTTTCCTACATAACTCAGCGAAGTTGTATATGTATGTTTAGTGTATATATTTCAAAAGCTTGTATAGGTATAATAATCTACACTTTACCATTGAGATTTTTACCAAACGGCAGGAGACCGATAATTGTGTATACTGAAAAACAATTGGGTTTCTTTAACAAATTGGCAGGTACCTACTACTTACCCAATAATTTCATCGTCCGATTTATATCCATCGTATTCGGTGACCTTTCGCAGTTCGTGCAAGTCCAACGTTTCGGTGCCGCAGACTAATAGCTCGACTTCTTCCGGTATCAACATCTGTAGTTAATACAGAGAGGTACATATAGTATACAAATATGTGGAAAAATATAATTACCACGAGTGATTTGTTGGGTTTAATAAAGCTGTCATTAACGGCGGTTTAACTCGAGTTGTTAATGCATTAGAATAATAATAAAATAAAACCAATGTAGATTAAAATAATATCGTTATATTATTCGGCCATTCGGGTGTATAGTGAAACTTGATAAACGTCAATATGAATATTTATAATTGACCTCATAAATAACCGTTTAAATGGATGCAAGCTAATTTTTAAAAGAAATTTTTTTAGTTAACAAAATAATATCCAACAAAATTTGAATTAAAATTATTGATTTTTATTTAATATATAGTATTCTTTCATTTGGCTAATAGAGCACTATGATATCTATTTCGAATTTTGGGTGGTACGTGTTCTCTTTGTTCAACTCAATTGAAATTTGGCATACTTAATCACGTTTTTAAAGATAATAAAGAAATTGATGGGATAACAGGTACAAAATATAAGAACCACTCTTGTAAAGATATTATATTCAATGTGTTCTTATAGGCGAGGTTCAGTTTAATTTTTTTCAAAATCTCTTTAAAAAATCAATGAATAATATTGTAGAACAAACGCAAGTAAAAAAAGTGTCACTTGTCAAATATTTTATGATAAAAAACTTGGGTTAGGAAATATTGTCAGTTGTACCATTTTTGTTGGGTTTCATCACTACAATTACTACTTTTAAACACTAATTTAAATGGTTACACTATATGAAATGTAAAGATTCACTTGTTCACTTGTCTCTAGGAATTTATTGAAACGATGTGGGTTGTGAAATTATATAACATAAAGGTCTCTCCAGTAAAATTATACAACAAATGCACATAATACGACACACGTGCAGTATGAATTCAATTTAGATTATTTCCATTTGAATTATGATTTATGTGTTATAAAACGTATGTAGGTTGTTATTTACCTAAAGATAGTATAAAAAATGAGAGGGCTGAAATAAAAACTCACATAATCCAAAAAAATCGGAAAATTATTTGTCAGCAATGTCTTGCAGAATTTTTGACGGCGAATTCGAATCTGTTTGTTTTAAAATACATCAGAACAGAGTAAATTTAGTCTTGAAAAAGTGTTTGGTACCAAAACTAACAGTTTCTGTAAGTTTTGATGTGGAAGGCTTTTTCAAACGTACTTAATTGTTTGTACTATTTTGTATCAAAACCCACATGATTCAAACATAGACAACGACTAAATTCTAAAATGTTGACGATGGATTCAAGATTTTTAATCCAAATTACACAAGAATTATATTATGTGGATATCATATTATAATATTTCAATCTATGAAAGCTTTAACACATTCGAGAATAATATAATATTTTCTATTTCTACATTGTCCAGGTAAAAACCTCGATCCAGTTTTTTGTTTTTTCCTGAAAGAATATGTGTGAATATGTATGTCAAACAACAGACTGTTGTTAGCGCTGAAGATGACAACATCGTTGTCGTAACACGTGTACGCAAGAAGTGTATAATTTTTATGGTTTAGGGTTCAAGTATAGATTTTATATCTTTACTATGTGAGTATGTAGATGTTTTGGATAGTGTGAATTTTGATTTCAGCCTATGGAATTACTAATTTACTACCTACTTCAATAGTGTATAAATTCAAAGACTCACGATTAAGGCATTCGAAGCACAAACGCTATGGAAACCAAAATAAAACGCACGGAATTGTTCATACATAGCCACGTTGAGGACCCAGTTTAAGTACAAGTTAACGTATTCTTCTCGACTTTCGTTTGTCACTGGGATATTTTCGCCATTAGGTTTCAGTTTATACGTTTTGGCCGTTTTATGTTCCTCCAGAGACACCTGTGAATTATAGGCTTTTTACGTATATATAGGTATACAGTTTATCAATATTATTAATATACAATAATAATAATGTATTAAGCTTTAAAATAATCTTATTGCATGTAGTGATATTATATATAGGTAAGGAGTATGTATTTTTCGAAAAAAAGATATATTTTAGCGATTCAAAAATATTTTCTAAAAAAAATGACTACTTTTTCAAAAAAATAATTTTTTTACACGAAAACTAAATCTAAATAATATTGAAAAATAGTAATCGTCTGTCGATTTGAGTTATTACTCTAAGACTTTCATGTGCCTACCGAGTAAAACGCATTCCAAGTAAGCATGTTTTGGTAAAAAATAAATTAATAAAAAACGTTTTCAAATTATCTACTGTTCATCTTTATCCTAATTACATGACATTTTGCGAGAATTGCCTAAGCCAAACTCCTATAAAAAATTGGTACAACGTCCTCTTATAATATCAGTTGAAAGTTTGTTAAAAAAAACTTATAACAATAATAGATATTATAAAAGTATTTTTAAAAAAAATAGATTTTTTGGATAAATAGAAGTGGATAAACTTATCACAACTAACGACTAACATTGTGCAAATGTAAATATACGTTTTTTTATATACAACAATCGAAAATTATTAGTTTTGAATTTCATCTGAAAGATTTTATTGTAAACAAATTTAATGTATTGAATACATTTACTAAACGCGACCAAATAGTCTGAAAAACATGTTCTCAAAAAAAAAAAAAACATAAAAAAAAACATTTATAAAAAATCAATTTCTAAAACCGTACCGTTTAAGGTATAAAACAGTATTCTTGAAAGAACAGTTTTTTGAAGTAAGCTATTATAGTGTTTTTTTGAAATTAAAATTTTTTTAAGTCAGTTAGTTTAGTTAGTTTTATTATTTTTGTTAGTTTAAATTTTTTTTGTGTGATTGAGGGAGATCTTCGCTAACACATACATTGGCAATTAATTAATATACTTTTAAATATTAAAAATGCTTATGTTTAACTAGCTTGTTTATATTTATATTGATTACAAATTAAAAGCAAATGTTTAATAAATTTAATATACTGTAATAATATTATATTTTGTTGTAGAGTTAAAGAAAAATAATAGTAATAATTTACTCGCCATAATATACACATAGGACCTATGAAAGAATAACAAATTTACTGCTGGCACGAGCAATTATTTATTCATTGCCTTGTAGGTTACATTGCATAACAATTTATTTTGCAATAATAAAATTCCTCTGACCGAAATAAAATCTGTATTTTATAAATAACCGTTTGAAAATCGCACAAATGAAGTTTTATAGGAGACATTTATGTAGTTATTTAATAGAACTATACTAATTAATATTGACATTCGATTTTAATGTTTTGAAATAATTAAACAAGAAAAAAGAATGTTGTATAAGCGTAAATATTGTACTTAACGTATTTTGAAGACATCATAATACAAAGTTTAATATATAAGAAAATTAACCTTGTTTTAAACGTGTACCTAATATTTATGTAATAAGTTTATAAGGTGTAGGTAATAGGTGTAGTATCCGTTTATTAAAAAAAGAAAATTATGCCACTTATAATTCGGCACAAAAATGCATGAATAGGATGTTCCACAACAACAACATAGTATTTACCTATTATTCTTGAATAAAATAATAATTGTTGTCAATAAAACGAAAAAAATATGCCATTATATTGAGTAGTACTGTTTAAAATAGTGGAATGTATAATTTGTATACAACAGAAACAAGCAAAAAAAAAAAAAAACAAACAATGCCATTCGATAAACAAAAACATATTATCAACTAAATTTTGGGCTCCACAATGTTTTTTTTAAAATATATACAAAATATTAATAAATAATAATAATAATATTATTAAAAATAATGTAAAACATTTTATATAACTTATCAGTTTAGGTGGAAATGCTGAAACTAATTACTAATTATTATTATTTTTTTATTTCCTGTTTTAGGTACACGAGTAATAATTTTAACAATGCAAATATTAAACACACATACACACCAAAATCGATCGAAGTTAATATATTTTGTATGTATAACATAAGTGACATGACTTTTATATAATATTTCTTCAATTTTCCGTGGCATTTGCTAGTTTCAAAAAAACCGGCAATTTTTTCTTACGTTTGTCATAAAAATTTAGGGAGCGAGGAAGTTGACTTATTGTACTTATTATAAAACCAATATTTTCTCAACTAGGTATTTATACTTAGAATTTGATTTCTTAATTGGAAAATGGTCAAATAGTATCTAGTGATAATTAACAGTTTGCATTTAAAATTGACGGAGATGTCATTATTTAACTTGGGACCACAGATCAGATTTTATGTTATGGAAGAATGTAAAAATCAGTTTTTTGGGTTTATAGTTACCATTTGTATAGCTAGGATAGTGGTAGAGTTGATTTAAATATTAAGAAAAATTAACACATAACACAACAGAAATATAGTTGATTTATAAATTAATTATAACCAAATTAGGTAAGAGAGATAGATGTGTCTCTTCCCACAAGTCAGTTAGCCTTAGCCCTTAGCCATTATTAGTGAATTTAATTTATAACAACGATGCACTTAAAACGTATATACAATTTAATGTTCCAAAACTGTAATTTTCTTATACCTGAAATGTAAGTCCCATATCGTCTTCGACATTTCCTTCATACTCCAATAGTTGTTTTAATCCTTTTGCTACGTCCTAAAAAATATATTGGTAATTTCCATATAGTAATTAAAATGAAAAATATATTTTTGACTAACTCAACAAAACTAATATATTCGATAGTATTATTCGGTAGTATTTGGGTTATATTTGCATACTCTGATCTTAGTGTAATAATATAAAAATATTAAGATGGAATAGGTAATAAAAAAGTAATGACGTGATCTAACTAATTATAACGTATCTGGAAGTGAGTGATAATTTTAGAAGAATTCGAGTGACTTGTATAAAACGAAATTTACATAAACTTAGGTATTATAAATTTACTATAAAAATATGATAAGTGACAGCATCTGACTAGTTGTTTTTTTACATAGGTGCTATTTAAGCTTTATAGTTGTTCGAAAATCCTGACCGAGTTACACCTTCTAGTAATCATATTTCATTGAACTTTTGTGAAACATTATTGTTAGTTAGACAAGACCTCTTTAGTAGTGGCTTGTGTTAAAATAGCATTGCAAGTTAAAATTTTCAAGATACTATACAATGGTTTTAATTATTGTGAAATAATAGTTTAATAATGTTTAATAATATCTTTTAAGTATTTGTACTTTTTTTTTTTATTAGAACTTTTTCAGAAAGTCGGTTAACCCCTTATAAAATTAGTTTTGTTATCAGCCGTGTACAACAAATGGTGTGGGGGGGGGATCGTACTATTTTAATACACGGCGGCTGGTTGTCAGTATTCTTTACAAAATATTATACCGTTGTTATAATAAAATTTAAGTGGACAGTAGTCAAAATATTTGTACAACCATCAAATTATTGTTTACATTTTCAAATTTCCGTCAACACTTGTGCCGGTTCTGAAACTAACGCCAATCATATTTTGTGAAATAGGTACTACAAAATATCGTTCTAGTCACCACGGAATAATATTTGAGAAAATCCGATTGTTATTTGCTTTTTCAAAAGTGAATCTTATACTGATTTATTAAAGAGAACGTCTATTATATAGAAAATATTTTACAAAAATATTATTTTCAACGCATTTTGATAATGTCGATTTGTAATCATTCGACAATAAAATGATATTATATATTTTAATTGTGACAAATTAAGCATAGTAAAAAGTTTACTTAAAAGTTAAAACTGATACTTTTTCACGGGGAATTGTTTTAGAAAGATTATTAATAGTTTAATTCGTATGGTAAATAGCACGTTGATTAATTTCAGTAGTTTAAACAAAATGGATTTTCGCATATTTCTGCTATCAATTTTCAATATGTATATGTATTTACAGAAACAAAAATCATACATACTGGCATACCTATATAATGGTGTCAACTAACAACATTTAAAAAAGTTGTTTTAAAAATAAAACTTTATTGTTTATAATAAAAATAAAATAGTTAGTCAGCTTAATTTATCATTGCTATTTCTGTAATATTTGACAAGTACATTTCTCTGTTAAATGAAAAGGGACATCGTATTACTAATATTAATATTTTAAAAATGTCAAATAATTACGGTATAGAGAAAATCTGTAAGAAGTCAACAGTAGGCTCGAGAAGCTTCAGGTGCTTTATGTGACAAGATAATTCCAATGAGACCTAAAGGTGAGTTTAACAAGAGAGTAGTGAGACCGACTATGGTTCAGTGCTAAGCAGTGACGAGGGAAGATAGGATAAGACATAAATACATAAGAGGTAGCATAGGTGTGGCTTCGATAGCGGACAAAATGAGGGAAAATAGAACGAGATGGTTTTTGGGCATGTTATGAGAAGAGTGGAATCGGAAGCAATAAGAATGGTAATGAAAATAAACTTAGGAGGAAAGGGGGGAAACCCAAAAAAAGGTGGTTGGATGCGATTGAGAAATGAAGATCTCTGGTGTATGCAAAGTTGACGTGGGAGATCATGTCGAGTGGAGGTTTAAGACAAGGGGGACCGACCCATAAAAGTTGATTAATTATTGTTGTATAGTTAGGTAAATGTGTTATATCATAAAACAATAATTACCAGTTAAATACTTTTGTATAAAGTAATGTGACTGTTGTACAGTTCACAGCATGTATATTATTTTACATGATCTAATCTAAACTTACTAATAATAATCACGGTTGACAGAGTAGCCAAGCGTGCAATAATAAATTGTTGGTAACGCACCGGCATTATTTCATTGAGATCGTCCAATGTAGGATTTTGTACTACGCCCACGTTTTCGTTTGTAGGTGGCACCACTGGGGGCGACAACAGTTTTCTATAGCATATACCGGGAAAACACAGATCGAGTATGATTGAGTTATAAACGGCTAGACCCATGAGAACGCCGATCAAGTTGTATTCCCTCAGGTTGCTGTGACCGGTTTGTCCTGTGCTAAACCAATAGCACCGTGAATGTGGATAATAAACGAACATGCCATAGTCTCTGTGAAAGATTTCACGGATCAAGAGCAAAAACCATTCCTTTGTCAGACCGCCCATGTCCAGACCTGGTTCGCCAGCAAACGTGACTTTTAGTTTTTTCTTTAAATCCTTCTGTTTGAATGCAATCTGTAGCAGGAAAAATATATTATCCAGTGGAACATTACTGTTAAGTATCACAAAATAATTATGTTGGAAAATTTGTAAAGCAAACCACAAAGTCAATGTATTTATACTCGCACAGTGAAATAACATATATAAAGGCCAGACTGGAATAATTCGAATTTTAGTTTGAAAGCAGAGAAAAACACAAAAGTTAGACGATTTTTCAGCTTTCAAATTTTACTTACAATGCCTTTTAGAAAAATAATCGGTTCGAGTTGAAAGCTATAACTTTTATAAGAAATATTTATTTAATATGTCTCTACAAGCTTCAACCTAGATTTGGCAATAACCCTATCTCCCCCATAGAGGATGGACGTTTTTTTTAAATATTTTTAATCGCAGTTATAGAACTAAAATGCTGAAAATCAGTCAGAAGGTAGGACTTATATATAATAACACATTAAAGAAAAAAATCCTATGCATACAGATATTTTTGTCTAAATTGTTGACCTGTTACAATAAGAAATTGGCTAAGTTAATAAATATGAATCGTGAGTTTAAATACAAAAATAATCTAAAATGATTTGTAGTCCACGCTATTTGAGTTTTATACTTAAAAAATGGTAAGCAACTTACAAAACAAAAATATGTATTTTCTAATTTGTTTTTGTGCTAAAAAAACCTATAAACTCTATATGAATTTTTAGACCGGTTTTTAATTTTTTTAAACCGCAAAAACCTTTAAACTGATACATTATACCACTAAAAAAAATCAGAATGGATGTAAGCAGCGAAACTAACATTTTACTGAAATATGGAACGTTCTGCTGGAATTTTTTTTTCTCATAAATACTGTAAAGGTGAGGGGCGAAATCCACTTTGGGTCTTTAAATTGTAATCTTATTAGCCAACCCTAGTTTCGCTTATGATTAAAATTATGTCCAATAAAAAAAATAGCCAGAATACTTTGGAAAATTCTTACTGTGCTAATTTAGACTGTACTGGTATTTTAATAGTAGTACAAAATTATTTATATTATCCGCTTTATTATTTGTGTTTGTATGTATACCACATTGTCCATTTATATACCTACAGTAATAGGCATTGTGCTTTACAAAACAATGATATTACAAAAATTGACGTCTATATATATTATAATACAAAATATACATCACTATTATGAATTATTAGTCTTTCTAAAGGTGTTCTGTTATGATTTGTTTGTTTGTTTATCATTTATTCCTTTATTATATTTCTTGTACTAGGTTGTTTATTATTTTCGAAACGTTTATGATAACGGGAAAAGATTTAGTAAAATATTATGGATGAAAAAGTTATGTTTTTGTGCACAAGAAAGCGAATTTTATAACTTCCGGGCGTTCGTGTACCTACCTATTATTAATTAGCCAATTTGTGTCGTAAGTGTAAATTACAAATTAAAACAAATACTTGTTGCGAAAGAAATCATTACACACATTAAAAAAAAAATAGGTCATATTATTTTAGTAAAAAAAAAAGTAAGCAATAAGAAATTAATTATTAAGTTCTATACATTTAATAAGAATTAAATGTACAAACTGTTAATTTATCGCAATTGAATTCAGTAAAAATCGTGTGGACATGAAAAATACCAACTAAATTAGTTAGCCGATTTTCAACACCAAATTAGCTATAACTCATAGAAACAATAATATATATACAGGGTGATTTTTTTTATCATGAACCACTCATAACTCATAGGGTTTAATAAGGAATTACAATTTTTATTTTTTATGTTGTTTTTATACAATGTGATTTCCTTTTTTTTTTTTTTTACCCCCCTCCTAACTTATTTTTTTTAATAGTAACTTTAAAAACTTAAATGGTAACGTACATATTTTATTAACTTTTTTTGTTGAGAATAATGTACTAACAATTTTGACTGGTCGATAACCCGTTTTGGATAACTATTTTTGAAGTTATTAAAGTTTCAAGTTTAGGGTCAAAAGTTGGGTGGAAGGTAAAAACAAAAAAAAATGTAAAAAATTGAGATCACACATTGTATAAAAACAACATGAAAAAAAAATATTAATTTCTCATTAAACCCTATGAGATATTGAATGGTTCATGATAAAAAAATCACCCTGTATATATGTATATATATATATATATATATATATATATATATATATATATATATATATACTATAATATAGTAATTGGTATATAGTATGCATAGTAACAAATTTACCATACAGTTAATACAAATAAATCCGAAAATCAGTTGACACGATTGAAATGAATAAAACCAGTTTTCCATTACTTTTAACGATCGCTTAACTTTTTTACCTTTATTCTATATTTTTGTATACAACTCTGTACCTATAATCACACTGTTACTTTACAAAATAATTGTTTAATTTTTACCTCGTTTAGTGAATCTTGCACTAGATGTGATCTCCGGACGTTTATGTTAAAGAAAAATATATCTATGTTTGGCGTTTGCCGTCGTGCGACTTTAGACACAAGCGATTTTCTTGCGTTGAGTATCATTTGCTGTTCAGAGTCCTTGGTCAGTATAATTCTCTTTGCAACGATGCTAAGAATGAAAGGGTATTGACAGTAAGCAAAACTTTCATAGGGTCCGTAAGTTTGCCAGTTGTAATAATCGCGCATGAGATCTATGTGATCCAACGCTGAATTATACAACTCGGTAAAGTGTAATATGTTTGGTCCTAATTGATTGGCCGAATCTAAAATAAGTACAACAAACGCAGTTAAAAACCTAATTTTTTTTGTTCATTTGAATTCAGCGCGAAACCCGTGTTAATCGCATAAACAAAATCACAACACAAAATCATTAGTAAAAAAATCCAAAATGTCGATAAAAAAGAAAAAAAAAGGTTTGATAAACAAAAGTTAAAAAAAAAAATCTGTAAAATGCAAAAAATGTCTTTCATTTGCGTTAAAAACATTTGATTTTTTGATTTTTTTAGATGCTTATTTTATGCTTTATTCTGGCACTCTCAGATGGTGGGACTTCTCTTTCCTAATATAAAATATGAAAAACTAAGTGGAATAGAAATTAAAAGCGTTTGACGCAAAAAAAAAAATAGAACTATTTGTCAAATAATACACCCCTGAACAAAAAGTAGAATGGATAAAAAATTGTAATTGTAGAAAACTTTATTATTGACACATTTAATTATAACCTAAATCTAATTAAATAACTAATCTAATATTTTATCAGACTTATTCCCTTTATCTATTTATTAAGTTTTATTTTATTAGACTTCATAGATAATCGACATTTTTTTGTATGTTTCTTATAGGATATGATGACTTATTCCCTTTCTTAAATAAGTGATTCAACTACACAATGCTTATAACTTGAGAATCAAGTATTTGTTCTACATCAATAATCATTGATTATTGTCATTACATTATTCCACACTTTTGTTTAACGAATTCATAACAAACGTAGGTTACCGTTTGACCTTCAAAGTTACCCTCCGAAACTATATTATAAAGTTTCATTACATTTTTTAACGTCAAATAAAACACATTTTTTTTGGATATATATTAGTTGTACTAAATATTTCACATAAAGAGACTAAAATAATGATTTAACGTCTTATAATATTTATATTAATTTAGCTTTGATAAATGTGTACAAATCTATTGTATACATCTATACAAAATGACATTTATTTAGATTTATAATAATTATTTAAGTACTGTTTTCATGATTATATCGTAAGTAAGTAAACACTTACTTATTAGTGCTAAAGTTTTAATTGCTGATGGAATCCACCAAAGTGTTTTCACGAGAGGCGGTAAAGTTTTATCGACGGGAGAAAATTGTCTCAAAGATATAAACTGCATAATATACCGTATTAATGATCTTAGTTTATCCAGTTCCATACTAAAAATACATATTTTCCATAAAAATAATAAAATAATTATAAATTATAACGGCAGTATTCAACTATAAGATACAGTCAATTTATATATATTATGAAAAAAATATTGAAATATTAAATTAGAACTTAAAACGGAACGAGTGTAATTTCAAGTTTATAAATTAAAACAGCACCCAGAGTCTATAAAGAACAATATGTATACTAAGTAAATATTCTACTAACGAGTAACGCTTCTCCTATACAGGATGATCCCTTTAACGCAAGCCACTGAATATGTAATAAAATGATTCTAATTTTTTGTTTTTTTTTAGCGTTTATGTTATTTACAATGAGGAATTTAAAACGTTTTGAAGTTAAAACACTATTTGTTATAACTAAAAAAAACGTTGGTTAAAATTATTGACAGAATGTAGTTAGACAGTCTGCCTTATTTTAAACTTTATGCCTTTTGGAATGATTTATAATAAAAAGTCTGAAATCGATCCAAAAGGCATTACTTCAATTTAAAAATGGTTATATTAACTTTTTTTGTTTTGATAGGTTAAAAACCAGTTAAACTATCTGACTATCATACTGTCAAATATCAATAATTGTAGCCAACGTTTGCTGTAGTTACAATACATATAGTGTACATTTTGACTTGCAAATGTTTTCTATCCCTGTTTAAAATATTATAAAAAAAGAAAAAAAATTAAACATTTATCTTTTTTTAATATTTTCCAGAACTCTATAAACTTTAAAAAATTAAACGATTACGTATATATATACATATTTATTTAACTTTTTAAATTAAAAATAATTTTCTGAAAATGTTGACTGGTAAATAACCTGTTTTGAATAATTATTTTTTAAGTTTAAAATTTAGAATGTAAAGAAGGGTGGAGTGTGGTTGAATAATGCTAGCAGATAAAAATAATAATACACTCCGGGATTCTTCCTATCCTAAATTCTAAACTTTAAAAATAATTATACAAAACTATTCGTTATCGACCAGTCAACATTTTTAGTAAATTATTCTTAAAAAGTTAGTTAAATATACTTTCAAAAGTCAATAGCTCTCGAACTTACTAAAAATGATAACAATTTGAATACTGTAAAATAACATTAATAAATTATCTCCAAAGACCAAAAACCTAAAAAAATTGTAATTATTTGATAATTATAAAATAATAATTAAATATTTCAGAGAAAACTAGTGTTTTACCTTAAACGGATCACATGTATTGTGACAACTTCCCAAAAATACCAATATTATATACTCAATCCTAAGTATAACTAGACTTATCATTTGACCGTCTATACACATCCAGCTCTACATTCATAATAATTTAGCAAGTCATTTGTCTTTCAATATATTTTTATTCAATACCCAACGCTAACTTTGATACACCATTGATTACCGGATTATCTCAATATAGGTTTATAATTTTATTGTTTCCACTCAAAACGATACTTTTTGTTCACAAAACACACCTATTAATCAAACCTAATATTAAACGTATATAGGATGTTTACAAAATGGAAAAATCCGTGGGCCCTTTTTATTAAAAGCCGTTAATTTCAGTCACCATTATAAGGTATACAAATTATGACGTTTTGTCCTAAAAAAAAAAAAACACCAATTTACCAATATCGTGTAATACCTATTCATCTACACTGTACTTTCACAACGGATTGTTTTCATAATACAGGGCAGTACAGGCGCATTGCTCAATAAAAAAAAAAAACAATAAATAAATAAACAGCAACGGTTAACAATATTGTTAAGAGTTCAACATATTATATTCCCTCCACTCGGTTCGGCTGTGCAGTAAGTACAAGTTTTTGCTGACAAAACATTTTCAAATTGCACGGCGCTATCATTTATAAGGTCCGGTGCTTTACCGTCCAGTCACTCATTAGTCGTTTGTGCCATTCAGTAATCAAGTCGACTGTCGCCAACAAGTCTGTGCCATCATGAAATTGATTTTGTGCTTTGCTCTAGCGGTTGCCGTGGCCGCTGCCAAACCAACGTTGGAAGAGTCAAAAACACAAGATGACCAGCCATTATCAATTCCGATCGAGAGCGAACAACCAGAAGACAAAGTCAGAGTTGAGCGAAGCGACCCAAAACTCACCTCCATCAAATCAACCGATAACGAAGAATCTACCAAGTCTAAAGCCAGCGCGATAGAAGCATCCAGCCCGTTGGAAAATACCAACGCCAGGTAAAAACCTTATTATTATCACTATATATAGTAATGTTAATTAAGAGAAAAATAAGTTATTTTTAAGTTAACTATCGAGTGGCCTCTACACGTCCAGCATTTATAAACGCTGGTTGCATAGGCAATTTTGCACTTAAATTTAACGTTAAGCTACAAATTTTAAACATATACAGAAGTACATTAACACACAGAAAAGTGTTAGGTATCTATTTTAGTATTTAATTTTTGTTTACAACTTTTATAATTTATAACGTGCATGGGTTTTATATATGTGCAAAATCGTATTATATTTTCACGTTCCTTAAATACTTAAATAGTCTTAATAATCTGGCTGATTGTAATTTAAAAATATTAAATTAATTATTCTAAGGAATTCGAGTACAGCATAATTAGAACATTCTTTGAATTCTTAAGGATTAAAAGTATGTAATATGTATGTATTACATTATTTATGTGGATAAAATTAAAATTTAATTAGTAAAGAAATGAATATTTAAACCCTTGACCATAAAAATAATACACTCTACGCATAGTATGTATTATTAACCATAAGTTTATTAAAGTTTCTTTTCTAGATTAAAATTTAACTTGGTTTTTATTTAACTAGTTAACTAAAAAGTTGTTTAAGTAAATTTATTCGTTATTAAAATGTATTCAAATAAGAATGCTTCCATTTTTCGAAGTTAAATTTTAATTTCAATTTTTATCGACATAAAAATAAAAATACATAATATACCACATTATGTGTAGACACTAAGAAAAGTAAGTTCGCGTTTTAGTCTTTATTTGAATAAAATTTGGCTCTTTCCGTTCCTCTTAGCATAATTTCTTCATTGCCATTAAATTTCGTCGCTTAAGATGCAACACCCGATAACTTACTTTTTGATCAAATTGAGTTGGCAACATTATTTGATTTAAATTTTCGCAGGAAATAGACAGAATAGCTCAGATTTATTATAAAGTCAATAGATAACGCTATCATCGAATAATCGAAAACATAGTTATTATGTTATTGAATGGAAACTGGTTTTATTGTTCTCCTGAAAAGTTGAGAAAAGTGAGTTATCGGGTGTTACATCTTAAGCGACGATTTGTAACTTAATTATTTATTAGTCGTATCAGGTACATACCTTGGATAAATCATACTTTTATAATACAGGGATGTATAATTAAATTTAAAATGGACCTTATATAACTTCAACCCCTCTTTCCCACCCTCCCACAAAAACCGGTTAGATTTTTTTTTAGTAAATTTAATAAAACTATGTATTATTTAGTTGTCGATACATACAAATCATGTTAAATCTTTAAAATAAATCTTCCTTAAGTGTTTAATAGAAGTAGTTTTGAGATTATGACGAGATTTATTTGATTTTTAATTTATTTTACGTCATTAAAATTGTGATCAATTTATATTCCTACTTGTATTCTTTAAAAACTATATCCAGATGAATAAGAAAAATGTGATAACATTATTATTTAATTAAAAATTACGATTTTAGTAAGAATATAATATGACGACGGTAGAATAGAACGTGGATATTATAGCTGTAGTGCCCCTCTCCGTTTTTTGCTACAGTCAAAGTTTGGGGGGTTTTAAATTGTGTTTAGGTAAACTATGATTTTAAAGATTTTAATAAGAAATCATTTTTTTTAGGACACTTACTTCAGGACATCAACAAGTCCAGTATCTCCCATCTGCTGCTTCATACCCATCCGTGTCATACGGATCATCTGGTGCTTCATACCCATCCGTGTCATACGGATCACCCGTTGTTTCATACGGATCGTCTGCTGCTTCATACCCATCCGGGTCATACGGATCACCTGTCGCTTCGTACCCAGCTGCGTCATATGGCTCTGTTGCTTCTTATCCGTCCGTGTCATATGTATCTGGAGCTTCGTCATCTGGACAAGGGTCGTCATTCAGTTCCGGGTTCCCAGCCCCAGTGATTCCATCATCGCTGGCAAGTTCTATCCCACAACGCGGCGGAATCAACATTGCGAAACAGATCATTCACAAGCCCGTTATTACTGAACTCCAAGAAGTCATCCACAAGCCAGTGATCACTGAAGTCCAAGAGATTGTCAACAAGCCAGTCGTACAAGAAGTCCAACAAGTCATTCACAAACCATTATACATCGAGCACATTGGCCTCAGTCCGTCCTACCACGGATACCAACAACACATTCACAAACAACCCGTCTACCAACAGTCCGTGCAACCAGTGATTCGCCAACCGATTTCTCATGGCAACACCGTCCATTTGGCCGACCAATATGAACACGCTGTTACTACTACCACCACCACCCACTACTGTGCACCGGGCTCTCTTGGATACGGCGCCGGCTTAGCATCGGGATCTGGATACGGTTACGGAGCTGCCGTCCCCTACGCACCAATTGCTGCCCCCCCAGCTGTTGCATCTTACGCCGTGCCTGCTCCATCGGTCAGCTACTCTGCTCCATCGGTCAGCTACGCTGCTCCATCGGTCAGCTACGCTACTCCATCGGTCAGCTACGCTGCTCCATCGGTCAGCTACGCTGCTCCATCGGTCAGCTACGCTGCTCCATCGGTCAGCTACGCTGCTCCATCGGTAAGCTACTCTGCTCCATCGGTAAGCTACTCTGCTCCAGCCGTTGCAGAACACTCTTCCGCGGTTGTTTCCGCCCCGATCCCATACGGTTACGCTTCAGCAGCACCGTACAGCTACTCGGCTCCCGCTTCAGTGGGCTATGCCAGTTACGAACCGTCTTACGTTAGCTACGAAAAACCAACTGGATCCACGTGCAGAACCGGTAACGAAGAATCGTGCAAAAACATCGAAGGGAAAGCTGCAGAAAACAAAACCCAAGGAAAGGCTGCCGAACAGATCACCTACGACACAATCCAGGCTTACCCACAACAGTCTGAAGACAACCAACAACAGTTGTTCAACAACAAGCAGCAAATGATGGGATTATCCCAACAACAAATAGGAAGGAGCAGCGAAGATTCAAAGCAAGCCACGCCGGATATCGACGCTATTGTTAAAAATATGGAACACAATGAAAAAATGATGAAGACATTCAAGAACATGATTAAAGAAAGCATGGCCGAATTACAGACCGACAAAGTCAATCAACCGATGGCACCTTCAAAATCTGACTGATTTATTGATTTAGAATAACAACGACAATAGGCTATATTTACATTAATTAATAAAATGTACTTACAATTTATAATAAATTGACTGCATTATAATAATAATTACACTGTTAGAAATAATTTTAATTCAAACTCACATCCTAAACCAATTTACTAATAGCTGGTGATCGTCTTTATTTAAATGCGCCACTTGATTAAGCAAATGAGCAAATATCGGCGCACTGTTTTGTGTTCCAAACACTGGACACTGGAGAAGTACATAAAGAGCTCTAACTTCATCCTTTTGATATAGACTATACATAAAATGTTGTTAAAAATATTTGGAGGGCTGTTTATATTTTAAAAGATAATATAATATTTATAAAGTATGATAAAATTAAAAAAGAAAAACAATACTTACATTCTTTTCTTCTCTAACAAAGCGTTAACTATGGATTTTAAAACAGTTTTATGGATTACGTTCGGCTGCAGCAATTAAAAAAACAGAAATAAACAAATAATTATTAACAAAAACTATTGGCTATTATATCGTACCATATCTCTGAGAGCGTCATTTACCGCATAGATAAATTCTAATTTTAAATCAGAATCTTCTAATCTGGCTCCGGATTGGTTTGGATTGGCCTAAAATTATATTTAAGAAGGTTGATTTTAATTTTCGTTGAATTTTTCAAATGGGGATAAAATTTGACCTTAAAAAGTGCGCAGATTTCACTAAACGATTCAAATGATCTCATATAAAACGTTTGAATTGTAATAAAGTTTTCATTTGTGTGAGCTTTCCGTACTTCTTGTCTAAAGAATTCAACTTCAAATGTAGATAATAATTGTAAAAATAATCGTATTTCACTATACTTAAACTATAATAGTTACTTACAAAAAATCTTCCCTCGTCTCATGTCTAGTTGGATATTGAGGTTTTAATTCAGTCTGAAATGTACTTTTAGTACTTAAACAATCCTTTTCTTTGGAACTTTCACTGTTCTTAGAAATCAACACTGGTCTATAAGCAACGTGGTGGTCTGAATTATCCTGAAATTAAAATTCCAGTAGAACTGCTTCCAGTATAGATTTTATTTGATGATTCAAAATAAGAATAACAGCGTTTGGCCGATTTATTAAAATATTAAAATAATAATTGTTAAACTTGTTATTTATGTGTGCAAACACTTTTTAGACAAAAATGTATAAGCTTAAAGTATTGCATCTGTTCTGCACTCAAGTATCAATTAGGTATTGAAGGCAAGTAGGCAACTTTTAATAAGATTTTTATTGTTGTGTATGTTTTTAAAAACAAAAGTTATTGCTGCTAAAATTAAAAAAACAACTATTTCTTCGACTTTTATCATTAATAATTATACCAGACTTACAAAAACGATACCTCTCAGCTTCACATCGAAGCTAATATAAAACAGGTAAGTATCTAACCTATTTGGCGTTTTGGTTTTGCATCAAACCTTTTATTTATATATTAATTTTCAAGACAATTCAATTTCAGGCTTTGTACGTTACACATAGGTACCTATTTGTTTAATAATTGTTATACATTTTTATTGCTATTATTATTATTATTAACTCTAGTAAATTAATTTATAAATTCTGTTTGCTAAGGCTTAAGTACATAAAAATACAACGTACTATTGGTGGAAGTCTGGAAAAACTAGGTACGGTAGGATCACTGCACGACCTTTGACTTCTTGCTTGTATAGGGCTGTCTTCGTGGCCACAAAAAGGACACGGACTAAGACGGTCCCAGTAATCTTCCGAATTCTCGCAAGTCTCTACCTAAAAAAATCGAACACGAGTAAGCTTAAAAATGTACCATAAACAAATATGTCATGTTGGCAATAATTATTAATACATAATTCCTTATGTTTGAGGGTTTTCAGAAAAAAAAAACTACATTTTTAAAGATTTTTATTGTTTTTTTTTCATCATAAATTTACCATTTGTTTTTAAAAACTACAATTTGGCGACGTCAGATTTAGTCAAACTTACGTTTAAAGTTAATTACAAAACTTAAATTTACTTTGTTTTTTGGTTATTATTTATTTTAAGAGGTTGTTATTTTTTTACTTTATTCTGAATTCCCACAAATAGGTAGTCCCAAAGGAGAAAAAAAAATAAGTATTCTAATTAGTTGACATTTTTTATTTAATCCATTTTTGTTCTACCCATGTTCGGGCAGAATGTTTTGTTCAGTGTATTATAAAACGTACTTATTAATAATTATTTAAAATAAATTTTCCCGCCAAAATACTTAATAATTTTACAGTTTAGAAAAACGTCGCATTTAGGACTTCCCAATGAAATTAGAGCTTAACTAAATTATGAAATATGTATCTTTTTTGTCTAATATATATATATAAATATATATTTGTTTTGTCTAATTCAAAACTCAAAAAGTAAAACTAATAGTAAACTATTAAAAAGATTGATTATAATTTCATAGTTAATTTCGATAAGAAAAAACCGTTTTTAAGTGTTTACATGACAGAAATATGCGTTTTTATTTCAAATCGACTTAGTTTCAAACCGTACCAAGTGTAAATTTTGTATTACATTAAATATATATATTATATTATACATACATTTTTCGGATGGAAATGGTCTTCAATAGACGGTCTACTAACACATGGCACTACAGCAAAAGTTAATGTCCTGTTCAAGAAAGACTTGCGAACTTTGTCCCAAAGCCAAGTCATTCAGAATATTACGGAGAATAATTAATCTCTAATGTAATTATACGATTTTTAAATTATTACTATTGCGCTTGTTTTATGAATTACGCGATAAACATTATTATTATCAGTAACGGTTTATTTAAATTTTAAATGTTCACATTTTAAATTGTTAAGCATTATAGCTGCAGCGGTAGGTGTAAGCAGGTAATACACTTTTAGGTAAAGTCAACGTTTTGCAATTGACGATTTTTAACCCGTGTATTTTATTTTATGTTTTACATACGTCAACCATGACAACCACAATAAAATGTATACTACATAAAACGAGTCCCACGCTTTTCACCAAGTATATATACGACACAATTGATTTCATTATTTTTATTTAAAGTACATAGTATAGTATATATATATTTTGATGAGAAGTTCCGACAACCCAGTTCAAGGACTATCGATTATACATTATCGCTTTACCTCGTGCCAAATAAATATGGGATACACAAACAATATAGGTACATAATAATATAATTTATGTATACACAGATAATGATAAACAAATAACAATATGAATATAATAATATAATGGTTTAATAAAGTGAATTAAAAAAACCATTTATATAGTAAGGGTAGTCCCTATTTTGGTATGTTTTTGGACTTTTAGGTCATGGCTAATGGTTATATAGGGGTAACAATCATAGGGCACTAATAATATATTATATAGATGATAAATGATACCTAATAATATAATAGTTCTATGACAATAACAAACATTATACATAAAGGTTACTGGTATAACTATTTCCAAGAATAGTTACAACAAAGGCACACAATGGTGTGTAAATATGCAGTAAATTTAACATTTTATTCAATAATATTTTTTATAGTTTTTTGGGGCTTTATCGAAAAAGAATAATTTTCTGAAAATATTGACTAGTCAAAATGTTATAATTGTACTAGTTTTAAATAATTATTTTTAAAATTTAAAACAAATCTATCATTCCTCCTGCCCTAAACTTTAAAAATATTTATTCAAAACTGGTTATCAACCAGTAAAAATATTGAGCAAATTTTTCTTAGTTAAATATAATATACTTTACCATGGAAATTTAAAATTTTAATAGAGATCTAGAATTTAAAATGGGATTCCGATCGAATTTCTGCAATTGTTGATTATAGCCACTGCAATATTTTAACATTACAATTGCCTTACATTGCCTACACTTTCCCTTAACTGGTGCCATCATACATGCCAGAAGTTTTTAATGAAAAATGTCAGTCAAGTAAAAGAAAATTCAAAACTCAATCTGTCCTGCACACATACGTATTAATTGTTTCAATTTGTGTGTTATAAAACTAGATTACAATTAATAATGTTAGGTTTGACAAATTTGAAGTAGAAAAATTATTATAAAAAATGGAGGACAACCTAATATATACTTTTATTAGACCTGGTCTTGTAGTTAAGTAAAAACTCACTGAACGAAAGTCATTTAGATTTTTTCTAAAAAAAATAGATCCGATAGATGCTCCACTAAATTATGTATTTATTAATAGTAGTTACACTATTGTCATATATAACATATTGTCATTGTATAGGTACTGCAAACATAATTTACACAACAAACACGTTATATTTTCAATGTTTTCCGATAATTAAAAGAACGAAATTTTAAAATAATAATAATAAAAAAAAATAATACTAACATTATAATTGCTAATTAATTACAGTTACTTTCAAAAAATAATTGAATCAACATACTGAACAAGTAATACTTAGGTAGTTCCTTATGATTAGTATCAAATACGTTTTCATAACAGTTAAACAAAAGACAACAATATAAATAAAAAACAATCAACATTTAAAATATTAGTATGCCTCGAAAATAAAACAATTTATAAAAAAATAGTTATTAAAAAAAAACAGTATAGTAGGGTCAAGGCATAGAGGGAACAGAGCATGTTGGGGGGGGGGGGTCATAGGTCTATAGAAATTATTATAACTAAAAGTCATAAAATGACTTTCAAAAATGCATTCAAAACGCTTCGATTCAGATCTGTACATGGTAAAACTACAAGTATCAATAAAAACATAGTAATGACAATAATGTGCTTAAAAATTTGGTTTAAGTATTACGGTGGATACGATTAAGGCTAATCAACTGTTTTTAATGATTTGTTGCCGTTGTTACCCATCTATCGTAATTAACAATAAAATGAAAATATTTTCAAATATTTATTGACTGTTGGTTCACTTACACATAGCTACTTGGAAATATGCTATGGTCAAAGTGCAATTTCCCACCTCTTTTTTTATTTAAAAGATATTGTGAGTCTAGACACAAAAAATTAAAAAACACGTTATTGTAAAAACAATATCTCCTCAGTTCTGCATCGAAGCTAAAAAAAAAGTAAGTTAATTAAATCTAATCTTTTAGGTTTTTATAATCTTAACGTTATTAAATCTAATAGTTGGCATAAATAAACAAATAATAAGTTTATGTCGTTAAAACTGCTAATTAAATAATAATTAAATATTATTATCTCCATCGAGTAACAGGATCCGCTTCTTGCGAGTGGTTTATAGATCCAGGATTGCTGCTACGTCTCATCTATTCAAAATAAAATAGGTTATATAATTCATAACTACAAAGTTTGTTGCTTCATAATACGAATATTGGCTGCCCAATTAATTGTAAATATATATATTGTATAAACGTTAGAGAGAGTACTTGGGTCATGTAAACTAGACTTTAGAGAGAATTTGTAATTATATACATTAATAATGTTTTAAATTACACCCATACAATCTACTATTATGTATAAGTGTTAAATTACATTTCCAGGAGATTGTTGACCGTCCGATTGGTTGTTATGTACTTTGACCTGTAAAACAACAAACTCCAGTCATAACTTATTTATATATTTTAACGTAAATAACAATTTTTCTTACTTTATTAAACTGACTCCGAGATAAACTATCAGTTCTCAAATCTTTATTCATTTTGGAATTATTGTTGTCTTCCTTTTTACCAAAACCTAATGGTGTAATTACTGTAGAATTTCCGTGGACAGGGCTATCTGAAATTTTTTTAAATTTTGTTTGTAGCAAGCATACATATTGTTTTTACAAAAACGTTTTTATACATATTGGTATATACTATATACATATTTTTTACCTGTGTTTAATTCTTTGACCAAAGATGACATTGCGTTTGTAACGGAATCAGCAGCGATTAGTAAGTCATTTCTTAAACTCCTACCACCAGTGGACATAGAAGTAATCGAGTTTACTGATGGGCTATTTGGTGTACCTATTAAAAAAAAAAAAAAATTGGAGTTTAATTTGAGGTCAGTAAGTGTAAACACATGATTGCTTATCTGTTAATTCAATAAATACACTTTTTATTTGAAGTAATAAAAACATTTAAGTTAAAATTCTTACTTGTTTGAGAATTAGTGGTAAAAGCCGATTTGATAACATCTCCTAATATTCCAGAGTCTGAATTTGACATTATTGAAAGCGAAGCTGAAGTTAAAGTACTGCCTGGAGTAGGTGGTGCAGATTTCGAAGGTGTAGGAGATTTTGTTAAATGAGGTGACGAATTTAGTGTAGATCGAGGAGATCCTTGATGATTCTATAATAAAAAAAAAAAAACAATTATTAAAATCTACGTGTAGGTTATAAAGGGACTTTAGCCTTTAGCAGAGAAGATTATGGTGATAGAAAGAATTTGCTGACATCGTTTATCATTTGTATATGTATGGCATAAGCCGAGGAAGACAAAGAACAGATTTAATAGCAGTGCTACATAAAAATATGCAGTGATTGGAACATTAGCTAAAAAATTAACTCATTCGCATTCACGTTCAATGCCAAAATAAACTAATAACTGTGTTTATATTAATTTTTTTGGACTAAAATAAGGCAATTATTATTTATAATAATAAATTAAATCTCTATTTCTTTGTTGGTTGGATATATATTCTTAAAAAATGTTAAAATATTAATTCAATCAGCAAAAAATATTTTTAAAATGTTTTAAACAGACTTTTTGACAAACCTATAATAATTGTTTTCAATATGAGAAGAATACATTTTAATGAGCTAGGCAAAAGTTATTTTATGTGAGTTTTTAATTTTTTAATGTATTCTTTCCAGACACCGAATATAACATATCTATATATTATTTTTTTACTTTGAGTAGCTTCATTAATCCTTCAAGCTGAACCATCAGTTGCCTTCTAGAATCTTGTAAGGATGTTAGATGAGACTCCAATTCATGTTTCCTATTGCGTAACGCACGAAGTTCGCTCATAAGGGCAGGATTTTCTTCTGAAATTCCAGAACAAAAACCTTCCATCTCTTGTTGCTTTCTAGGAATTAAATCAGTGGTTTAAATTCAAAAGTTTTTCGATAATTGCAATAAGCGTATTTACCTTAATCTAGCGATTTCTTTTGTAATTTCTCTATTTTTTGACTCGAGTTGAATGATAAGTTCTCGTTGAGCTCTTGACGTGTCCAAGCTTAAAGAACCTTCTGATGGTGCTCTACCCTATAAATGAAAAAATATAATAAAATATAAGTATTTGTACAATTAACAGTTATGTTATATTGAAAACATATAACATGTGATTTGTGGCAAAAGTTTTCGTCAAAATGAGAAAAACATAGTGTAATTTTCCCTTACTACTTCTTTAGCTTTGGCAGCCAATTTTGCAGCATAACGTGCAATCAACTTGTGTTCGTCATCCATAGAAGTATAATCCAAACTCATTGTACGTTTATCAGGACTAAATAACATACATACATATTGATAGTTTTAAAAGGCTATTGTCTTACTTAATTATCTGTATACTCAGCTTTTTTTAGCTGGCTATCAATATTATATAAAATACAATTTACCTTCTAGAACTTGTCTTGCTGTCCAAAGTATTAAACTGACTGCTGAGCGACATGTTTGAAAATCCATTATGACAAGGTAACGGAGACGGGGGTCTAGAATAAAAATAAATAAATTATAATAATTCGGGCAATAATCATTATACAAGTAACATACATAATATGTGATAAATTAATAGTCTTCTCAGGCTCTTCGGGGTATCTAGGTATATTTGCTTTTTCTTTTTCTGGTACACAGCGAAAAGATTTTCTTAATGAATGTCCAATTTGTTTGCTTGGAGATTTCTAAAACATTAAAAAAACCAATAACATATTAATAATAATTAATAATAATAGATATTAATGAGAGTTAAAACTTACATAACTAGTATACTCTTTTACATCATGTTCGATAGTGTGACTAGCCGCTACACGTCCTCTCCAAAAACATTCTTGACACATTTGAAAGTTATGACACTTCTGGCAACGATAGCGAAATCCGGTAAAATTATCCCGATGACATGCGTCACAACCAATAGGATGTGTAACTAAAGAAAAAAAAATCCAATTTAATTATTATTAATAAATTAGTATATTTACCAACCATTTTCGACATTTGCTAAACGATGCAATAGAGGTAACCAAACGAGGCAAGCCGGTCCAGGGTCTGACATCATCGAATCCATAAAATCATTAACAGTGACTTTGCCATTCTTATTTTTAAAAAAAAATATATACAATCAAATTACTTACAATATTACTATACAAAAAAATTAAAAAGAAATGTGTAAAATAAAAAATGTAATTTTAAAGAGCATACTCATATCAAAAAGTTTTTTTAAGGCAATTTTTTTCTAAAAATGTACTTTAATGTAAAAATGTTACTATTTATTTATAATAATTTAAATAAAACGAGTAGTGCTACTTCAAATATTGTTTAGTGTTTATTGTACCCATTATTTTAAGTGGAATAAAAAAACATGTCACTCAATTTTCAATTATACATCTCAAAGTCTTAGAAAGAAATAAAAGCATCAAATTAAAGATATGCATTTCTAATTTATGCTAACCAGGGTCTTTTTTTATTACATCTCTCAATTACAGTTTTTATTAAAATAAGATATTCTTCCAAATATCATCACTATTCATTTCAATTGATGAAAACAGATTTTTAACAACTTTTCTTGTAGTGTCTTTAGTTTTCTTTTACACCAAATATGTGTACTTTTTTTTGTAAGATTTTATATCAGTTATGACTGACTCTTAAAACAAAATATTTAAGATTTAATTATCGGGTTTAAGTAATTATATTATTTAAAAATGTTCAATTTCTCCAGGAGGTTTTTACAATTGGTAAGTTTTTGTTAAACACCCTGTGTATGTTAGATGTGTATGTGTAAGATCAGGAATTGTATTAAAAATTTACAAAAATTAAATAATATCTATAATAGCGGTTTCTAACTCTCAGAACTAAATTTTAATTAAAGATTAAGATGTATAATATGTCAAAGGACAGGTTACATTTAAAATTTACTTTTATATACTTATAGTTATTTATGCGTTAAATTTATTTTTTAGTGTTACATTTTAAAATATTAAGAAATGAATATTATATTACTATTATGAGTATCCATAATTAAACCAACCCCGCTAAATATTTCTACTGGTATCTGTTCGTTGTATTTAAAAGAAGGTGATTCATATACAGCACCAGGAAGTGCTAATACTTCTTGTAAAAATTCTCGAAACTTCCATGCAACCATATGCCCGTTTTGATCGCAAATTTGTGAAAATATATCTAAAAAATATTAGATAATCAATTAAAAAAAAAAAAAAAAAAACCATTTAAATGCACAATACGCTATACAATAATAATTTATTTATATATATTACTTACATCTTAATTTGTCCATGAGTTTTCCTGAACACATTGTGGCTAATGCAACTTTAATGGAAAATACTCTTATTCGTCCCATAGTGTCATTTCTAAAACACACACACACACATATCATAATCATTTGTTAAACGATGTTGAATCTATTTTTTTTAATAACAGTTGAAATACATTGTGTTCTAAGTTATAAATTACAAAACTTACGCAGAATAAACTGACATAATCCAATTGAGCAGTATCGTAGTCAAATGATCAGCATGTACGTGCTGTTGAGCGGGTAACCGTTTGTTTAGATTGTGATACAAACTGGACAGTAAATTTTCGAATTTGGAAACATTCACTTCGACGTGTGACTCAAGCGTGTTTAGCCCATTTTCACGAAACGCTTCTATTACGTTCCAAATATCAACAATGTGTACTAAAATAAAATAAAACACAAAATGTTACAAACATATATAATAATATAATATTTGTATGTATATTATGTATTGTATAATGTACATATTGAATACATATTCTATGAAAACTACATTTAAAGGGCAAATTGTTCAAAGTAAAAAGTTTGGGATTTTCGCACGTCGATTAAGTTTGAAAGCAAAGTTAAAATTACATTGGCTACATATAATATTATTTAATTTGTGTCTGTAAACTAGATACTTTTTTATTTTGTACTTTTTCATCGAGATTTAAAAATGTTTGTTGCAATGGAACTTTTTTTTAATAGTTCATATTTTCTCTGGGGACATTTTTTCCGATTTTCCAGGGACCAGGGATGAAAATTGGGAGGGGCCTTTTTTTTTACAGGAATCGTTGGTTAGTTACAATTTTTTTTTTAAATTACATTGTTTCAAAGTTACAAAAACGCGTCTGACTGAAACCATAAGATGTGAATTCGTTTGTAAAATGATTTACAGTGTCTCTGATGTTGTTGGTTAAGTGTCTACACTGGCGCTTTATATTGACAAACCCACAAATTGTGTCACACAAGTATTATTTAGGATGAAATTTCGTAATAAAATAACATGCGGAAGGCGCATTACACGCGCTACCTACATCATGATATAATATCATTAAACAGCGGTTTACAAATTAAACATCCGTTGCCACCAAAATAAAGCTGAGGTTTTTATAAAACGAAGTAACTAGGTATAATAATAATAAATTGTGATGCAAAAAAAATGTATATATAAATTATACAATTCTGATTTACAAGATCCCTTCTTCTTCGTCTATATAATGAGCGGTGCATACAAGTTACATCCCTTTGTAAGTGCCACGGGGTACATTATCAGTACCAGTGGTTCTTAATATCGTAAAAAATACATTTACAATGTAATTAAGGGGTTTGGTATTTTTTTTTTTTTAATGCAATCAAATTGTTTATGTATACAGAGTGATTCTTTTATCATGGGCCAGTCAATAACACATTGGGTTTAATAATAAATTTAATATTTTTTTTTATAATGTTTTTAAACAATATGATCTCAATTTTCCACAATTTTGTTTGTTTTTTCTTCCTTCCTACTTAGTTTTTTTGATAGCAACTTTTAAAACTTAAATGGTAACGTTTTATTAATTGAGAACAATGTACTTAATATTTTGACTGGTCGATAACCAGTTTTGGATAACTATTTTTGAAGTTATTGAAGTTTCAAGTTTAGAGCAGGAGGGAACGTGGAGTGTAGTATTATTTTTATCTGCACGCACTTCCCAACCGTACTCCTCCTCCCGTACTAACTTTTAAACGATGTCTTTTAAATAAAAACTTTAAAAAAAATAAGCGTTTAAACATATTTTATAATATACACACTTCTAGTACCAAACGATAGCTGTACAGATAACGATAATATCAGTTTTATTAGAAAAATTCAATAAAATATTAGCATAGTTTTAGAATCTCTGTTTCTTTAGCGGGATGCAACTAGTATTAAATTTTTTTTGGATGCAACTCGTATATATACCTAAGCCTGAGAGGCAACTACTGTAGATTGACCTTTTTAGTTACGATAAAGATCGGGTGCAATTCGTAGTTTCCCGGATGCAACTAGTATGCGCCTATTATGAGTGTATGCGCTAATTTTCGGAAATAAATTAAAACTCCATGCTTTTTATAAACATTTTTGTATATTTTTATATTTATTTGTGTTTTGAACACCACGGTTTGTAATACTCTTAACTGTTTTACTTTTTTTATTTAAGTACCATAAAAAACGTGGTGTTTATAGCACAAGTGAGTATAAATTAATTTCAAAAAAAAAATCTTAAAAACATTCAATAGAACAAGTTATTTTATTTGTCAAATCTTTTCGGGACACTCTGTACATATAGATATATATTGCAACAATTGAATCAATTAAAATCCAATATTTATCATCTGACCGTTATTTTAAACAAACCTGAAAAGTTCGTCTTTTAAGTTTCATTAAATTATAAAAAAAACAAGTGAATGTTAAATAATTTATATGCCTGACGAAGAAAATGCTTTTTAAGTGATAACTTACTGATTAGCTGACATACAGGTTTCTACTATCATAAATCGAGTTATTTTAATGGGTTTTTTATTATTAAAATAAATTAGATACTTCAACCTTTTCATTGGATTTTAAGAGGAAACTGGAATGGCAGTATTTTTTCAGCAGTTGTATTCCACTGATAAATAAAATGCGTAATTGTGAAATCGATACCAAATACTGAATGGCTTTTAGTTTAATTATTATCTATTTATGTCATAGTCATAGAAATATATTTATTATTTTTAAGCGCCTTCTAATTATTTTTCGATTATTTTTTTCCTTCAAATGGACTAAAATAAAATATTCAAACAACAATCAAAGGATCTTTATTGTACAATAAATTGAACTTAATTATTGAAGAACGAGATATCAAAAATAATATTATTTATAGATTCTTAAAAAAAAAAAAAAAGGGTTCTGGCCAGTACTCGTATAATAAATTAAAAAATAAACAACATTATTATATAAAAACCAGTGTTAATATTCATTAATCAATTAACCTTGCCAGTTGTCACCTGACATTTTCCCTAAACATTAGAAAGTTTCCCATAGAAATACAGAGTGTATATTGAGCATTAAGTGATTAACCAGATGTCTAAATTAATAAATAAATACAATGTTTTGAAATGATTAAATTTGTGATATTATCGTTTTTAGCTTTGATGCAGAGCTAACTAAGTATGAATTGATTTTACAATGAGAGTATTTTTTTTTGAGCCAAAAAAATGGTTTAACCACCGGATTCATTTTTTTTTTTTTTTTGTATCAAGTATTAAGATCAAAAATCGTACCTGTAAGCCAAATAATAGCTCCTTTTCGAAATCGAGAAAAACGCAAAAAAAAAATGTACACATTTGTCATCTTGAAACTATGACGCGCTAACTTTTTGAAAAATAAACAAAAATTCCTTACTCCAAATTTAAATGGGATATTCCTCAAAATATATTGCACAGTCGATAACCAAAAAAAAATACTTTGTTTTTTTTTTCAAGGTGTAGTTTTAGTTTTAGGACTACTAGGTTGATAAAAATTACTGTAACATGATTTATGAATGAGCCTGTGCATAATTCCATTATCTGTGGCTCCAATTGGCTCCAACACTCATTAATTTTGGTTTATCGTCCAAGTTACACAAAAATATCTAAATAGGTTTCGATTATGTCAACTTATGGCTAGAAATCAGATTACATTAGCATATCATTTTTAACATCTATATTTTGTTTTATGAGCTCATAGTAATTTTAATGATGAATATTGAAAAATTACTGAACGTAGAAAGGAATAATACGTAGTAGTGATTAAAATTTTTTTTTTTAAAGATAATTTTCTGCAAGATCTCAATTTTTGGCATATAATTACAAAAAACCGACAATAAGTAAACAATACACCTATAGTTTTTTATTTTTAAAAAATAGAATGATCAAACACTTTTACAAAATATATACAAAATTATTGAATTGTTGACAATGTAGATTGACAGGAAGAAGTGTGTTTTGATTTACTCACTGCAAGTAGCTTTAAATATTTAAACGCCCAAGACACATTCATAATTAGTCTTGTATAAAATAAAATAAACAAATGGTCATTTGTTAATCACAAAGAAGGCAATGTTTCGATGGTACTTGTCTTAAAGCATAAATTTGTATACTCCTACATTGTCATAACAAAGAGGTATTTTTATTGGCATTTAACATTTTTTTTTCAACTTTTATAACCCAGTCATGAATTTTTTTTATTAGAGGTCCCTATTTTATGTGTAGTTAGAATACAAATAACTGTGTTTTTGTTTAAACAGAGTTAAAGTATGTGTAACTAAAATACACATGTACCCGTGTATTATTGTACTCGTGAATCCGTGTATTTACTTTTATACCTATACAAATTAATTTATAAACTCCCGAATTTTTAGTATACACTACATAGAACACAATAAATAGATCAAAACAATGACATTCAAACATTAAATACATGGTCATTAAACAGTTTATTTAACGGTTCAGATTCATGAAGTCTGGGTATACTTATGTGTTAATTTGTTAAAACACGTTACAAATTGTAAGCTTTAATCGTAACACTATAAAATTAACGTTTAACATAAATATTGTTTACCATTTTTTTTTTTTTAAGTAAGACATCTTAACCAAAATCTTTTTAGTTTCAATATAGAATTGTAGGCTGTTAAGATGGCGTCACAACACTACTTTAGGCACGTAAAACATTTCTCAAGAGATAAATTTTTCTAGGAAGTTAAGTAGTTTTAGAGCATGTTTATCTATGAACAAACTTAAATATCAAGAGTTTTGTACATATTATAAAAGGTTTTTATTGAAAAACAATTTCTCAACAAAGATACAGGCTTTTGAAAAATGTAATTTGGTCTATGTAAATATGTAGGTAAGCTTTTGAACTTTTCACTCAATCACAAGTAAATATGAGCTAGATCCTATAACTTCTCAATTACCAGAAAAAGCATCTTCATAGGTTTATTTTACGAGCTCATAAAAAGTGGTACGACACAATAGACCCTCTATTGAAGCCGAAGAAAATTATGTTAAGATTTTTTACTTTACTTTTATGCTTTAAACAACAAGATCAATAATAATAATAACTTACAATGTACTTTTTTCTGGACATAACGAAGCTTACACGCAGTTCTATAAGAAGCAAATCGTATCATATCATAATTTTGAGATCGCATTTCTTGCAGAAGTAACAATCGGCAGTCAGATGTAACTTTTTGTTCCGTTGCCATTGTAGAGTAACCTATTACATTGATAAAAATTATTATACATTAATCGTTTCAAAATTGTTTATATTGTATTATATTTGTTAATAAAAATATTAATAAACCTGAAATAAAAACAGAAATCAGTACTAATGTGATACTGTAGAAATTATTTTTTCCTTAAAAGAAGACATTTTTAGTGTCCTCAAATTAAATTATTTAAAAGAAAAAAGTAAAAACTTACTTTGGTTATGATAAAACTTGAGTCAACTAACTATAGCAAAAATAATATAGCTTGCAAAAAATTAAATTGAGTTCATAGAATTTTTTTTTTTTTAATTTCCTTCAAGGATCGTTATTTGGTAATCGCTAAACTGGCAAACATTTTAAACAACTTAATTAGAAACTTTAAATAAGTCACTAAATCACACAAGCCACAGACGTTTATGATGATATCACTAAAACATCAGTATACCATTAATTGATAAGGCGGTTACCACTAAGATGGCAATTAAGCTGCCTATCCAGTGAAGATTGAGGAGTATAGTCAAGAGACAACTACGCATGTGCGTGGAGGAAAAATGTTAAGGGGAAGTAAAGTGGTCTGCTTTTGTGAGTTTTGAAGTTATAGATCAAAGGACTTTAACTACTTGAGATTGTCCGATATTAATATTGTAAACATATAATAAATAATATAATATTTGGCTATTTTACCCTGTTACGTTAAAAACGGATTTTGTTTGTTTTTTTTTTAATGTAAAATAATCGAGTTTAAATGTAATTTACATAAATACAAATGGAAAATAATTTTTTAAAATGAAAATCTATTTGCGACATAACTCGGTAAAAGAGGCCAACTAATTGTTTTCTTTTTACAGAATTGAAATTTGACTAGGCAGCTTCACAATTTTTTCACAGCGAAAGCATTTTTTTAACAAAAAAACGGTTCTACACCTAGAAAATTTGTTTACCTTAAATATAATACCATGAAGTTTATAAAATTAACATGAAAAAAAATTAATATTGGTCGAGATTTACCAAATTATCGCTTTTTTCTAAAATACTGCCTACATAAAACACCTTAAAAACCGCTCACTTTCATTCCATTTAAGCGTGGCAATTTGTTAATAGATAAACAACTTTTTTTCTATAGAAATGACAAAAATAAAATAATAACAGTACACATTATAGTTTAAGGTCTAAATTGAGATTTTCTGAAAAACTGTCCATACTTTACTCTTTAATAAATGGACGGGTAGCGTCCTCTAAAAGATAATATAATGGAAAATTCTATTGTTTAGGATGAGTAATTTTTATAGGAAAGCTTTAACAGACATGCTGGGAAACGTAGTGGATACTTAAAAACAATTATCTACCAAGTACAGGAGAAACGCATAAAACGCATCAATGCATAGAGATGATGCGAGATACGAGTAACTAGCATCACAGATTGTATGAAACGTTTCAACTTTCATTTAATCTGAGCTAGCGCCTAGCAATTATTATTTCATTTTAGCTATTTTTCATAACATTATTATATCTGGTCCGCAGTGGTTAGCCATTACAACTTTACTGCTAGAGGCCGCTCTACATACCGCATAGATGGTCGACTTATGCACTTGCTAGGCCGAGGGGAATAACTTAACATAATTATTGAGAGAAGTAGGATTTCGTGGGACGATTCGTTTACAATTGCCGATCTGTAGACGACTTTTAAGTATAAAATTAATATAGTAATATAAAAGTACATGGCTTTTCTGGCCGGCGGATTTTGGTACATTTGTGTCAGTGATAACAGCGTTATCGTTATGATAAAAATGAATATTGATAACACATAACTTTGTTCTGCCGGCAACACATGGACATCAGCTCAAAAGTCAAAAAGAGTTCCGTTTTTTTTTCAATTTATTCTGCTTCTGAATTCTGATACTTAGTTTACTCAGATTCAAATTTATTAATCATAGTAGCGTTGTTTAAAAAAAAAAAATATATATATATATTCAAATTAAGAATGACATTAAAATAATATTAACTGTGATGATATCCCGATTAACTTCTCGATTTTGCGCTCATTCCCTATCAAGATATTTACAATCTAAACGATGGCTTTCTGTGGGAACAGTAAACTTATTCGAACACAAAGTAGAATTCTCGGGAAGGTAAAATTTACAAACTAATTAATCATTATTTTACTAATATTTATCGACATGACAATCTATACCTATTCTATATTGGGTATGGATTTTATAATTGATTGGTTATTTGGAATTCGACAGAAATTATTTAAAAATTTCCGGGGGAAAATATGCTCGTTTTACTGATGGCTGTGCAGTTGTGTCACTTGGCGACACTTCTGTTATGGCAACAACGGTCAGTAAATCATTGAAGCCATCATCGACTAATTTTCTACCTCTAACAGTTGATTATCGACAAAAAGCAGCCGCAGCTGGTCGTATACCTACAAACTATTTACGTAGAGAGCTGTCCGTATCTGAACATGAAATACTTACCAGCAGACTCATAGACCGTTCATTACGACCATTATTTCCTTCTACATATTGTTTCGATACACAGGTAATGCAGTTCATATCTATAAAATGTATAATATAATAATACACACGTTTATATGTTGTTACTTTTAGGTTATGTGTAATTTACTAGCAGTTGATGGAGTAAATCACCCTGATATACTAAGTATAAATGCTGCATCGACTGCTTTAGCCCTTTCTGACATTCCTTGGAATGGCCCAGTGGGTGCAGTTCGGGTAGGCTTTTGTGATAATAATTTAATAGTTAACCCAACGCGCCGGGAATTATCTAATAGTGAATTAAATTTAGTTGTTGTGTCGGCTGCCCATAATTTAGTCGTCATGTTAGAGGGCTCCGCTAATAATGTATTACAGCAAGATATGTTAAAAGCAATCAAATTTGGTGTCAAAGAATGTCAGCATGTGGTAAATGGCATTAATATTTTGCAAAAGGAATACGGAAAACCTAAACGAGAATATGAGACTAAAAATTCAGACGATACAGACGGAAATTTAGAAATAGCAATTAATAGCATATGTGAAATAAAACTTAGAGAAATATTTACCAATACTTCTCACGATAAAACATCAAGAGATGTTGCTGTAAGGGATGTTAAAACTGAGGTCATTGAAAAACTTAAATCTAACTTTGAATCATTAAATTTTGATCTTTGTTCAATTATTTTTGACAAAATTTGTAAGAAAATATTCCGGAGCTTAATTTTTGAAAACAATACCAGGTAACACAAAGTTAATTTAAAACGATGTGTCTTTTTAAAGATAACTTTTCATTTTAGATGTGATGGTCGTAAATTTGATGAACTGAGAAACATATCGTGCGAAGTTGATTTGTACAAGCCCCTTCATGGTTCAGCTTTATTTCAAAGAGGCCAAACACAAGTTTTTTGTACAGTAGCTCTTGACTCGTTAGATTCTGCTCTGAAGCTAGACCCAATGACCATATTAACTAAGTAAAAATGTAGTTGGTTAATTTTTTTTTTATTCTTATTGAGTTATAATATTTTAGCGGAATAAATGAAAAAAATTTCTTTTTACATTACGAGTTTCCTCCGTATGCAACCAATGAAATTGGTCGTTTAAATCCGTTTATGCGACGAGAAATCGGACATGGAGCTCTGGCAGAAAGAGGTATAAGACCAATTGTTCCGGAAAATTTTCCTTTTACGATTCGTTTAACATCGGAAGTACTTGAATCCAATGGTAATGGTTTTATTGTATATATCATATACATTAAACTATTAAAGATATTATACTAAAATATTGTATTCGTTTATAGGTTCATCGTCAATGGCATCGGTTTGCGGTGGTAGTTTAGCACTTATGGATGCCGGTGTTCCTATATCTCAACCTGCAGCTGGCGTAGCTATTGGCTTGATTACAGAGTATGACCAAGACGATACACTGCAAATTAAAGATTATCGGATTTTAACTGATTTACTTGTAAGATAACACATAATAATAAATATATTTTTTATGTATATATTAAATGACGACATGAAATTTCCATTTAAGGGCATCGAGGACTATTTGGGCGACATGGACTTTAAATTGGCTGGTACCAAAAGAGGCATCACAGCGGTGCAAGCCGATATAAAAATTCCTGGTTTGCCTTTAAAAATTGTAATGGAAGCTATACAAGCAGCTACGGATGCAAAGAAAGACATAATAAATATTATGAATGAAACAATTAAGAGTTCTAGGTAAATGTTTCGAACTGGCTCGGCAGCTTGTATTTATTAATGAGATAAGATGAATAAAAAATATTACTTAAGACTTCAATTTTTAGGAAACCACAAAAAGATAATTGGCCAGTAACAGAAAAGTTAGACGTACCTGTACATAAAAGAGGAAAATTAATGGGTCCCGGCGGAATAAACTTAAAGCGTATACTGTTAGACACTGGTGCACAGGTAAAAGCCTTGTTAATAATAATTTACGTCGTTATACTCGACGTTTGTATTATATTGTATCGTTAACAACAATGTGTATTTGCCGATTACTTCATCAGATAACATCCGATATGGAAACCGGTTCATTCACAATGTTTGCGCCCAATCGAGAATCGTTAAATGAAGCAAAAGAAATTGTTGAAAAATTAATGGCAGAGCAAGCTGAACCACAACTCGAGTTTGGAGCTATTTACAATGCTAAAATTGTCGAAATTAAAGAAATCGGTGTTATGGTGACATTGTATCCGACCATGCAACCGGCTTTGGTTCATAATTCGCAGCTCGATCAAAGAAAAGTAATACTTTATAAATGAAATAGTGAAATAGTAGTATCCGACTGAGCGAGTTCTATGTGAAATTACTTTTACTTATTTAACTATTTTCACTAGATCAATCACCCTAGTGCTTTGGGTATGGAAGTCGGGCAAGATATTCAAGTTAAATATTTTGGTCGCGATCCAGTATCGGGCATCATGAGACTCTCCAGAAAAGTGCTACAAGGGCCGGCTTCCGGGGTGACACGAAATATAAGCAGTAAAAGTAGTACAACGAGTACCGAGTGAAACATTGTATATCAATGTATATTGTATCTGTACCAATTTATTGACTAATTTTAATGTTATATTAAGCTGCTAAAAATTTGTACTACACATTTTGTATAAAAAAATTTGTATGGTTTTGTTTGAGATGAAAATACTATACAATTGAAATACATATATATGAAGTTATAATAATCTTTTAACTTATATATGAGTTGTATATATCTATAATTATAGATTAAATATAGTATAGATAAGGGGCACAATCCAGTTAAAATTAAATAAAACATACAAATTACTGGATTTTGTAAATCGTTATAATAAAATTATTCGGCCAATTTCAAATGAAATCAACACTAAAAAGTTCACTTACACCGTCTACTAAAACGTGTCTCGAATTATCAATGATTGTTCTAATTACGAAGAAAAATAATTCCAAAGGTTTTGTTTTTAAATTGCATTCAGATTACAATTACTTGTGATTTTTGTTGTTATACATATAAAAATATAAACTGAATGATATTAGGACGTAGCTTTTGATTATAAAATAAATGCAGTTTGTATGGTTAAAAAACCTACCTATATATCAAATATGGTTTTATATTGAAATCCGTATTTTCTACTAAAAGTATTTGTGTCTAAAAAATGGTATTTTAGAACTTGTTAAGGTTTGCTGCCGCGGTACAATTGCTTTGTAGCGATAAAGTTTATGTTATTAAGATATCTAGAGTACGAACCAATATATAATTTGGTTATATAATAAAGCGACTGTTGTATCCATTTGTGAAATGTAGGCTGTAGCTATATATTAATAAATGAGTAGGAAGTAGGTACTTAAAAACTGAAATAAACATATTTTTTGTTAGGTGTTTCGCAATTTGTTATTTACGTATAATAACGTGCCTGAAATTTAAAATGTTTTACAGCTATTATTGTTATGCAAGCTTTAGTGGTTATAAGATTGTATTAAATAATATACGATTTATGAGTAAATTTTACTAAAATAAAATAATACATTTTTAAATAAATTTTAATTTTAATAACTAACGTGGGTAGGTATATTTTTTGAAGACTTCAGTATTATTTTAACTTTTAATTGTGCTTATGAGACCGACTAAAAAACATTAAAACATAGTATATTTTATTATTTAAAAAAATTATTTAATAATACTAACTAAAAAGTAAGTAATAATACATCATATTATTATATTAGGCAGATAATCTAGTTGTGAATTTGTTTTATTGCGCCTTAAAATAGTTCAAATAGTTTATGATTACAACGTATTAAATGCAGTCAAGGTGATTAACATTCAGTATTTACATTATAATAGTATGCATATAAATACGTACATAAAAATATACAATTATAAATATTATGCATTAAAATAAAAAAATAATAATTTTGTAAAAATCTAGTCATAACATGTTCATACTATGCATGGAGGTAACAATAAATACTTAATAAATTCATTGAAGATTTGAGATGTTGTGGGAAAGACAATGAACATAATTATTTCATTAACTATAGTTAAACCTACATCTTTGGTAAAAATAGTTTTGAATTACAATTTAAAAAAAAAATCACATCACACAGAATAATGAATACATATAATAATACATCAGGCAGGTATGCCTTAATCATTAGGTAATGATTAATAACTAGGTATTTTGATATTTTTTACCCGGTTTATAAATATTGATGTACCTATTAATGTGTTGGGTACAATTTTTTTTATAAAAATGCTATAAATGTTTTTTTTTTATGCTATATGTGTATACACGATACTTATATTATGGGCTGTATAATATAAATTGTATAAATAATATAATACAATAGTTCTTTTGGATAGACATAATATTATATAAATTTATAAAAACACAAATATAAACAATATTGTACCTATAATGTATTAAAACCTGCGTGGCCACTGGATTATAATATTATTATAGTCTTTATTAATATTGATGTTACCGCAATGAGATCATATTTTACTGAATTATATTCTATCAATATATTTTTAATTGTGTGCATGTACCTAATACGCGGTACCTAAGTATTTTTCAAGTAGGTACGATAGGTATGTACCAAATAAACGTGGATTTCCTAAACGAGACTCAAACTTCGAATAGTCAAATCAATTATTACCGTTTGGCCAGCATTAGCAATATAATTTTTGATAACAAAAATTATCTTGTAGGTACAATTACTTACAAGAAACGTAGTAATAAGTCCTATAGTACGTAATCTCTTGGTCTACGATAATTACAAGTCGTTAAAATAATACTAAATTATTTTAACGCAACGCAGGAACAAAGCCATTAAACATACCCTATGGGTTTTTTGTATGGTCGCGGGTTTTCGGGCCTAGGGTTACCAGCAGTTGGTGGCGGGCAAGTCGACGACGGACGCCGAACTGCCTTCCTTGTGCAATATGGAGTTGTTGTGTCCGTTGCTGTGCGTCCGACACCCCTTGCTCATGTTGTCCAACAGCTCGCGGTTCATGGCCCGCCGCCGCTTCGATATAAACCACAACCGTGCGAAGCATTTGCGGAAGTTCTCCGACAACACGCCGTACAATATCGGATTGACGACCGTGTTGAGCAAGGCTAGCAACAGTCCCAGAATAAAGTGGTGCGACCGCAAAAAGAAGTCCGTGTCCTCCGTGTCTCGACTGCCGTCCATGTAGATGAGGCACATGACCGCCGTGATGGGCAGCCACATGACCAGCACCACGATCACGTTGATGAGCAGCACGCGGACCACCCTCAAGTGTTTCTGGTACCTTAGCGTTTCGTGACGCACCAACACCTGCAAAACGCATTATTATATAGTGTTAAAATAAACTCTGGTATTCTACTTGTTCTTGGACATATTATGTATGAACATGATTTCATTTGATTTACTTTTTAAACCACACAAGTTAAAATAGTATACTTTTCAGTGAATGTACCTACTCAGAAGGAAGTATATAAATACACAAAAGAGGATGAGTGAGGATTTTAAGGGGTTAGTGAAGAAAAAAAAATTATAAGTAAATTTACAAATACATGAACATTGTCAATAAAATTACACACTATGACTTTAGGCCGGCCTGAGGGAAGTGAAGTGAATGCTTGTAAACTTGTAAATTTGGATATCTAGAAAACATAATATGCATATAGGTAATATTTGGCCACAGTACGCAGTATTATTGTTGTTGTGGGACGTTTCTATTTTGACTGCACTACGGCGATGCGTTTTTAAATTATTCTGTTTGAGACACGCCGCCGATCATTAAAATCGAATGAACAAAGAAGAAAGCCAGCTAAAATAAAATATCGTTAAGTAACCGAGTGCTAGGCGCCATAATAATATGAACTTAGACAGCTGTACCAACACGAAATATAATGTATATTAAACGATCAAAGCGATAGCACGCGGTGGGAAAGTTTGTTTGGCAAACGTTAACAAAATCCGAGTCGTTAAACTGCTAAAAAAAAAATTTAAAAACTTGCTATACCTATTGATATACACAGTTTAAAAAAAAAAGTAAACAAATAATAGTCGATATTATTATAGTTATAGTACCAAAAAGTAAAAATAATCTAAATGATATGTGGGGAAGGTAGGGGAGGTTCTATTTGTAATTATTTACAATTACTAGTTGCAGGTGGCATTATAATATATGAATAATAAAATATACAAATTTTGTTATTTTATTTTTTTAACGATTTAATAAAAGGTTTAATAAAGTTAAAACACAATATTAATACCACGCCTTTGGGATTATTTTTCATACCCTACCCCATTGTTATTGGATGTATCATGTTTGTATTGAATTATTATTTAATGATCATATTTTTGTGAATGCATAAAATATAGGATTTTAAATTCCATGATCCACGGCGTACACGGAACTTAGTAAGTATAACTGTGATTTAATTGACCGACTCTGTGAGGGTGTTACAGTTACACCTTTTGTTATAACTTAAAAAAAAAAATAGTTAAATAATAATATAAAAAAAACCATGTCAAAACACAAAAGTCTCGATAATAATAATAATATTATCATACAAGACAAAGTAATGGCCAACAGTTTTGTCACTGGGTCGTTAGACAATAGGCACTTATTTATTATTTTTTTTTTTTTTTGTAATGACTGAACGGGTTTCCGTTTGTTTTTCGTTACTATACAAATAATACTTATTCACTGGTCAATACTAGAGGTTACTGTGTAATAAGATACGTTATAGAAATTATATTTAAAAAAAATCAAAAAATCATTCATTAATTGACCCAATGTTCGTTTAGTACATTTGACCTTTCCGTTGCACTTAATAATAATTTGATGGCCCATGTATATCTCTGCCTACGTGTATTATTATTTATTAAAGACACGAGAAACTAAAAAAAACAGTCTCTCCACTACCGTCTGTCAATAAGATTGTTAACGATTTTGATTTTGACTTCAGCAAGTGCACTAAACAGCATTTTTTTTTTTGTAAAATGTATACAGAGTTATCAAAATAATATATTTTTTTAAACTTTAAACCTAACCTGAGGTATGGAGCCGGACGCGGTCGGCGACAGGCTGTTCTGCGACATGGCTTTGGTGCGGTGCGAGGCGGATTGTTCGAGCCTCCGGCGCGTTTTGTTCAGCTTGTGGAAAATCCGCTGATAGTGGTAGACGAACAACGACAGCGGCAATACGCAGGACAGCGACACCACCGACACCGTGAACACTATGGACAGCTTGAACGTGTCGTTTTTCGGGAACACCAGCGTGCACACGGTCATGTCGCCGTCGTTGACGGACTGCACGTGGAACCACAACGCCACGGGCATGAACACGATACTGGCGATCAGCCACGTTACCACGGTCAGCCCAGCGGCACGCTTGGGCGTCAGTCTCGACCGGTACGGTGGCACCACGATGCACCTGTGACGGTCCATGCTGATCAGCGTCAACGTCCACAGCAACACGAAACCGCATACAAACTGTGGACATAATATAGTGATTATACATTTATTGTAGGCATATTAACGCTAAATAATCAACAGCGGCGTATTTACAGTTTTCTTTCTTATAAAATGTATTTTCTTTTAATTTACCTAAATGTTGTAATCGTAGAAATATTACTGTTAACTTAAGACATTTTACATTTAATTATATTATATTTATTAAATAAATGCAAGGCAATCTGTATTTTAATCATCTTTGTTTTTTTTCTATATTATATAGCCAACATGATTTGATAAAAAGCAACATTTTTTTGAAGTGTTTCTACTTAAAATGCATTTTGTCTCATTGAAACTTGAAAACGACAAACTATATCTAATTATAATACAACGGTGTTGAAATTGTCATCACACTTTCACTTACTATGATAATAAAAAACAATTTAATCCATTAACAAAATTAAATAATTTATATTCGTCGGTCGCTTTGACGATAAATTGTAAAAACACAGATTTGTTTGCCGGATACATTTCTGTTGTGTATATAAAAAAAGCAAAAAAAAAATGTATGTGTGTCTGTGGCTAATGCCTAACCGTGATGTCTCATAAATCATAATAATATTAAATAAAATGTTATAATTTAATAACGGATTAAACTAAAAATATTTTTATCTATTTATATAGCGTTTTTTTTTTATAGAGATTTATCCTTAACTTTAGGAGGTTTAAATTAATCTTAACGTTTATCTATTTTTAGCGCCACAATTTTTTTTTAGCAAACGGTGGCATTCCTTAAGATTAGGATAAACATTTTTATTTTCCCCCAAACTTTTTATGTGTTCTCTGGTTGTTTGGTGGACATTTTAAACGCCATAATATTTTTGGCAACGGGACGGCCCGGGTCTTGTAAGACATTAATTAGGTCTAATTGTTATTGCTTATAGTTTTGTAAATGTAAAAATAAAAAGTGAACTTATTTAAACTTTTTTTAATCGTACTTTTTTAAATTCTGTTTAATCTAAACTCGAAAATCTAATGAAATATTTGATATAAAAAAAAAGAAGAAATGTCTTGTTTTCTTGTTTACAGATTGCAATACAATATAGTATCGCTTGTCGAGTGACAACTTAAGTATGTTTGACAAGGTTGTTAAGAAAATATTATGTCTGTTCAACTGTCATGTTGACTTTAAGCGTGAATTCGGGACTAAATCTTTTTGTTTTTTTTCTAAAATACAATATATTATTGTATTAAACCGATATCGGTAATAAACACAATATTAGCAGTGCCCCAATATAAGCCTGAATTAAATCCGGTCGGTTTAGATATTGTTTTTTTTAATATTACCTATGGGTTATATTGTTATAATTTTGTAACATGTAACTACTTCAGTTGTTGTATTATATGGTGTGTATGCCAGTTTGACAACGTGTACCCTACCTCTGGGCCATTGGACAATTTCCCTTAAGTAGTATAATACTATATACTGTTGTGCATTGTATAGAGTATAATACTGTATAATATAACGTTGGAAATACCGCGTGGGCTTACACCGAAAACGCATTTAATCACAAAACGTTACACAATGTAGTACATTTTTTTTAAAAAACATAAAAATAATATTTTCTAGTTGTATGTATAATTGTTTAAACCAAATATGCGTTGCCTAATAAACGATTGGCTTGCTTATTCGGGTTTGTACTTATTGACATATTATTTTAGGGGTGCACAAGTATGGTAGTTTTGAAGTCTGCGCCATTTGTGGAGATTTTTAAAAAAAAGTTTTTTTTATGTCTCGTTTTAGTGAAGAATGCCAGATTTGTTTTTTTTCATTATTATTATTATTACTGTTTAGTCTAGAGCTCTCAGGAGATTTGATTTCACTGTTTGTCATATTTTCTGTATGTTGTCACGCATTGCGTGGGATGTTAAATTATATATTTTGATTTGATTGCGTTTTATCAGTTCGCTATAGCTTTCAACTGTTTTGTATTACAGTATTGTGCAATAGCCGAATGTTTACCTAATGGTTTTCTAGTATTTCCCCCCAAAATATATATACCCTATAGTGTACACAATATTATTATTTTAGTATGTTCCTACTTAGTCGGACACCAATTTATTTTAACTTCAATATTAATTAATAAAATGAAAATATACCTTAAGGACAATGTAATCTTACCATACGGTTATTGGAAATATATTAATTATACAATATTAGACTCAAATCAAACTATAAGGTGGTTTTGTATCGGTTTGTATTTAACTTGGACGCGAATTCGATACAATAATTATTGTACAATAATTTATTTTCTCATTTTTTTTTGTTTCTTCATGTAGCAACTCAATATTATTACAGATCAAAAGAGTCTAGATTCGTTAATAAAAGGATGCAGTTTTTGTTTTAATATTCCATCTATATTAAGGTCAACCGCGATGACGAAGCCGGGTCAATTAGTCGACACGTCTAATTGATTTTAATTTGACCGCATTAACCCGTCGCAATGCACATGCACGTATAATGAACACCACGCCGGCATATCGCTCATTATCATTTCCCATATCGCCCTACGCGATCAGACCGTATGGCGTGCGTGCCATGAATTTCAAGGGCGACGACCAACCAAGTGTAGGTACCATGAATATTGTCCCTTTTATAATAATAATATATTAAATGTTAAACCGTAGTCGGACGACAACAGCTGTTGTTTGTCAATCGATTTTCTTGGATATATAATTATATAATTCGGTTACAATCTTTATGTAGGTAGATAGATTATAGGCAAGTAATAATATATATAATGAAAAGTCACCACCGCCCAAGTGGCATTATATTAGTCTTTTGACCTTTTGGAAAAAGAAAAAAAAAACAATTACCGAAAAGTGTACACCAATTTCTGTGGGTGTGCACTTTACGACAACGGTCTGAGAAAACTACACAAAAAAAAAAAATACATTTAAGGGAATTACTTTGTATTCAAGTGTGTTCATCAAGTCGAAGACGAAGAAAGTCAATAACTTAATAGGCTATTTCGGTAAAGATACGCGTAGACAGGATATTTTGTTCTCTGACCTAAACAAGTGGCGTTTAAGTGCAAAATATAATAATATGGTTTTTATAATATTATATAGGTAATATTATATGTTATTATACGAACACAGTTAATTAGGCATGAACGTGTGCACGATTAGAGCTGTTAGTGTTTGTGTATTATTTTAAAAATATTTTTATAAATTATTAGTAATTTTCGGTAAACATTTCTCCTTTGTTGTGCGGAGTGTAAACGACGTTCGGTGTTCGTGTTAAAACATCATGACGGCATAATTAGCTATATCCGTTATTGGTATATCATTATTATTATGTTGGGCACACACACAACCATTTTTAGTATTCGTTGCCACCGACCTCCATTAAGAACAATTAAAAGCTAATTAGTCGAGAACCGTAAAAATATATTTTTTTCTCGAAAACTCTCTGATCGACCGATGAGTAATAATAATAATAATTAATTATTGTGCACGGAAATTTGTAATGACCAATGTTTGTGTTTAACGGATAGAAAATATTTGCTGTAATCGACCGAGCTCAGGATGTTTGCTGAGGGAAACTAACTAAAATTTCAACGGAAATGGTCTAATCTCCATTATATAACGCCGGATGTTAAATAGTGTGGTCTTAGTTGCACTTGCAAACCATTACAGTGTACTCAGGATGAATGTAAAGCTGTTGTTTTCGCTCCAAGTTTGTCTTCTTCTTAAATGTATCATATTTCGTTAAACCGAACTCACCCCGAATGCGCCTCGTTACAAGTCATATAATATGTTATGGTTTTTTTCACGCTATTAGCCAACCTAACCACCGACGTTACCTTACAAAGAGCGTTCAAACAGTTTATTGTTATCTAAATTGATAATAGTAAACATGGAAGCCACCGATAAACCGGTTTAACAGTGAAATTTATTCGTCAATTCGTTCAAAGAAAATACACACTAAATTGATTTTAATTGCATCTGATTTTGTTTTTGTATTTTGAAATAAACAACAAATTACTCATAATGGTTATTTTTAAAAAAAATGTATCGTTTATTGTCAATGGAATTTAAAGTCATTTATGTTATTCGCTATGTAATATAATATACCAAGGAAAAACATATATTCAACAATAACCACAGAACATAGTAAATATTATAATATAATGTATCTATATTTTATTATATTGGCATAATAGGATTCTCATTTCAGTACCATGTTTAAACTATAACATTAGGTATATTATTCAATGAAATTTTTTTTAATAAATATGTTGAATAGATATATTTTTTCATACTAAGTTTGCGATTTGACACAACAGGAAAGCAAGCGACCAAAACAACTATACATGACTCATCGTCTAGGACTGAGTAAATTTACTGTATTATTTTTGTTTCATAACAAAATATACTCTCCTACTAGTGAATAACTTAACAATGTTCACGCCATGCTTATGCGACCTTGGTCATAGTAATAATAATTATTTTACCTACACTCGTTGGACAATAGCAGGTGAGCAATAGCAGGCAATATTATTATCTCTGAAAACATATTTTTTATGCATTTATCATAATCGTTTTGACAAGTTAATTAACATTAACTTGCGTTAACATTTTTTTTTCTACTCAAATTAATTTTAATTTGAAAAATAACCCAAGCGATGAAATTTATACAAACTGTAGTGTTGTTCATTTTTCAAAGCACACTACAACAATGATGTGACACGACAAATTGTTGGAACTGTTGTGGAAATTTCGCAAATTCAACAGATTTTTAACAAATAGTTTGTCGCACAAAATATTCGCAGAATATGAGTAAGGGATTATTTTACAAACAAAAAAAATTCCCCATGAGAGATACATACATTGTTACAGTTAGTATGATTATTGTTGTTGCTATTTATTGTGTTGCCGTGGACATTATAGTAGGTATTTTGCGAGCAATCCCTTAACCAGTTATTAGTATTAGTTTAGTATTTTTTTTTAAATTTAAATGTATTATGTATTTATTACCATTGTTTGTACGTTTGCGGTATTAGCTCGAATCGCGGTACTGAAATATAATATTATAATTTATACCGCAAGTATAAATATTATATTCGTCAAACGCGTTTTTAATTAACTGATTCGGTTCTTTTTTTATTAATATTTCATTCCGGTATGTTTGTAAAAGCATCAGCTACATATTTTGAGGTAGGTTTTTTTAAGTTCCATTCACAATTATTACCGCTCTAGAAATAGCCATGTAGTGTTAATGAACGTTAAAAGATTTTAGAGGCATCCATGCAATATTTAAATGAGTTTTTATTTTTTTTAAATATTGCACAATGAGTTTTCTGGTTTAATGTGTACTCAAAAATAACCAATTACCCTTTGTGGTCACGCAATATTTAAATATGCTTACATCTACTATGTTTATTCACTTGTACACTTTTTTTGAATACATTCGAAATTATCATACTTACTTAAATGCATCGTAAGTACGACTTGCCATGGTATTTTTTTGGTTTGTATTAGTAATTTACAAAGCAAACCCATGTGTGTTATTCACCTATGACAATGTATGTACCTGTGAGTAAGGCAGTAGCCGACAAATGACGTCACCGAACGGCCAGTCCGGACGTAAGCGGACGTAGGCCATGACGGGCGTGGTGCTGGCGAAAAGCAGGTCGGCCACGGTGAGGTTGAGTAGGAAACAGTTGGTGACGGTGCGCATCTCCCTGTACCGGAGCACGGCCCAGGCGATGGCCCCGTTGGCCGCCACGGACACCACGAATATCACCATCAACACGGACACTTCGACTGCCGACTCGGTCTTCTCGTCGCCGAACTCGGAGTAGAAAGTGAAAAAGTACCGGAGACCCCATCCGCCGGTCGTGTCGTTGCCCAGCAGATACGAAGTGTTGAACAGGCTCATTGTATATGTACCCTCGGCGTGCACGTGTAGAGCGGTTCACGTAACCTTTGACAAAAAATCGCTCATGTAAATATTATTAAACAATATCGCGCGTGATGTAATTTACATGCAGAGAACCAACAGACCAACCGCAGCTGGTGGAAAACAAATCAACGTCTTTGGATCTTACTTACAAACGAATTTTCAAGGGTGTGCTTAAAATTAATTAATATATATACATATATATATATATATTTAATATTTTTATGTATATATATATATATGTATAGGTATATATTTAATTTCCAACCTATATTATATATTGGTTATTGCCATTAAAAAGTAAATAAAACCAATGTATTGTGTAATGATAAATGTAATATACCAGTGAGGACTTCTTCAACAACTTTTCACATAAACCATTTAAGTTTGATTTGAACCATAGACGAAAGTTCTGGATTCTTAGTACGAAGACATTAAAAATTAATGTAACCCACATTCGCATACAACCGACTTTATTCAAATACAGAGTGTAATAATAATATGCATTGTATATAAGCGCTGCAATGTTAAGGACAATTTTGCGCAGTTGGAAAATTATATGTATTATCCGAATGTAAATAAAAATTATGGCTTTTATTGGAATAGTTATTATGCATATATGTATATATACCTAGCCATAAAGACAGTAAGTACTGTATTGAGTATCAAGTAGGTAAGACAAATAATATATAATATGTACATACAAAGTTAATCTAAAAATTGTATTACATAATAAAAACAAAGCGTTTCAACGAAATATTTTAAAAACTGTCCAAAGTACATAATTTGAAGATGCTTTCAAATTAAAATACTACTTTCGCAGTAGACAGTACGAAAATATTGGATTGTGACTTGATTCAAGTTGCGTAAGTACGCTGAGGGTGTGCAGGGGAATAAATAGTAATAAAAAGAAAAGGGGATTGAAACCTTGTAATCTAATCGTTATTGACAAAAATACTTAGAACGGACCCTGTTAATATATATATAATCGAATTCAATTCTTCTATTTCAATAAAACAGGAAAACTTATATTTAATTTAACTGAAAATTAATTGAATATCGAGTTGTATAAATTCAAATTAAACTTTTACATAATAATGAACTTAAAGGACAACCATCTTTTTTCGCCTCTCCCTTAAACTATATTGCCCCTCATCTGATATTATTATTAAATTGGATTTCCCTCACAATTTATGCCACCCTTTATTTGAGTGCACCTTGAACTGCACCCTCTCTTAGCACAGGCCTGATAAACAAATAAATTCCAATCGAAAATGTGCGTTTATTATGTATTTTGTGAACAACTAATCGTAAGTTAGCATAGTTTTAAATATTTCATACATTGGTTGCATATTTAATATTTCCTCTAAACGTTATGAGCGAAGATTCTGGTTGTCTTTCAAGACAAATTGCCAATTCTTAAGACAACACGAACAAGAATGCGTTTTACTAATGGTAATGTGTACAAAAACGACACGGCGGGTTTTTTATGTTGTTTACTTGCAAAAACGTTGGTCGAGTTTTTTATCGGACGCCTAATTAAAACATATTGATTTTTTTAGCAGGTACACAATATAATTGTAAATTGATAATGACTTCCCGTTAATTTATATCATTGTCATTTTTTTATACAGCCTTTTTCTTTGCAATATTAAACACAATTTTTTTCTCGACTTGTCCCATTCGGGGTTTTCCCACGTCAGTCTTTTCCTTCGACAAGCACTAAAAACATTTTGCAGTAAATATCATCAGTGTTGTATAAAATAATACACAATGTACTTTGAAATCATTTGTTTGTCACGAATGCGGTTTTGTTTGTTAATTTAGAATAGTTTTTTTTATACAGTTACCTAAATTTATCTAATGATAGACATTAGCCAAGTATAACTGCTGTGATTTGGAGGAATCGCTTTCAAGTCATGACCGCTTTTAAACCCACTCTTGGTTTATTACACTTACTTATACCGTTTCACTATACTTTACAAGCGTTGGTCGTCTAGAAGTCTACACGTTAGGTACAAGGTAAGTATAATATAAAAATCGGTTATCATACTTACATAACGACATCCAAAATTGTATACTTATATCTGCTAATCGAAAGCGCCGTTATGGTTTTATATTGGTAATTATAACAGATTGTTCGGTAATTTTTTTTTATTGTTAATTATTATAAATCTATTTGTTGCATATTTCATTGACTTAGTCGGTTATCAGAATTGGAGTTCAACGTAACCCACGCGCAATAAAAATACTATCATGTAAAACGTTTTTTTAATATTATTATTATTATTTAATACCCTTTTGTACATACATACATTTATAAATATAAATAGTTTTTATTTTTTTTCATCATCCGCGCCAAATGATAAAATGTTGTTTCACTCCAGTGACAAACCAACACATTATTTTCACCACGACTAGGTGTAGGACTATTAGTTAGGTTTTCCTATGAGTAATATCCAAGTCGGTTCTAAACCGAGTAAGCAATAACATAATGTAGTGTACAATTTGCTTTAAAAGCACGTACGTCAAGTTTATGGGCAAAAAAAAATACAATTGTATCTAGTTTGGTTATAGGCCCAGCTCGACTGATGTAAGATTACATTGAGAGTTAGTTTGTTGAAAATTTTCCAAAAACTAATGAAATAATATTATACAGCATTAGTCATGACCCGGACTACCACCTGCCGTCACGTTTCTAGGACTTAACGTTCTGACTCAACTCAAAACAATTACTGATATCATAATTATTATTTTGCTCAAGCGCACTGCTGTGTACAGATAACAATAACATAATATTATGTCGTTGTAAGAACAATGAGTCTTTTTACCACCTTTACAGCACTCGGCAGTACAGTGTGTATACAAATTTGGAAAAAAAAACGCTAGAAATAAACACACAATATATTTTTGGTAATCATATCGACGAATGCTAGCAATAATAATGAATTTACTAAAAAACAGGATTTTTATTATTTTTTTAATTTCTTCCAACAATGAGGTCTATGACTCATAGTTTCCAGTTAAAACCAACACGGCACGTCATTAAGTCTGTATTTAGGTTAAGTTAGGTAACTCGACAGCTAATGGATATTCAATATTTTCCAGTGACTTCTATACTTGAAAATCAATTCCTTAATTGGTTCTTATTCGGCTTGCCTACTATTATATCCGCAGTAATAACACTTTTAATTACCGCAAAATGATTACTGGAATTTATAATATACTTGTCGCGTTATAATTAAATGTAAAAATTATATGTTATTAATAATACTAAGAACTATTTAGAACACTAGACCAAGCAAAGGCCAATATGGGGTTATTGACATAAGAAAAACTCAAAAGTCCTTATAATGGAGGAAATCTATCTAAATAGAAAATATATCAAGTACACTTTTGCCAACAACGGTACACCGTTAGATTTTTATGTACCTGCTTACTTTAGATAGAAAAACCAAACGCTGTAGATCATTTTGTAAATTATTATTTATAGCATGTTGTTATATGCTATCCAGTTTAGACATAATTTTAAATATTTGTTAAGTTTGAAAAATAATTTAGTCTAAATTCGACCACTGAATTTAGACTTTACCATAATAACAATACTTTGGGTACTTTACTTGGTTATAAAGAAAACGCAATTTTGATATTAGCCCTTCCAACAATATTTGAAAAAAAAATTACAGTCACGAAGGGGATGCCTAACTTTGGTTATGCCAAGTACGTGTGCCTAACGACGACAGCGTATACCTATTGATGTGCTGTAGTTATACAATAATACTACTGGCCATGTTTTTATCACCCTCATCATACAGCTTTCGTATCGGTTTGTCTAGGTTTCGGATAGGTCTGCGAGGCGATTTTTTTTTAAAATTATTATTGTGAATATCGACAGCCCGAGCTGGCGTTTTCTTGGCAACGCTAAGGTTAAGGGGTCTCTGCCCAGCAAGTCAGGACTAGCTGTTTTCACGTAACGACCGCCTCGACGGTTAAAGTACACAAAAACAAACGTGTTTTGATTATTATTGTAGTATTTTTGTACTCACAGAGTTCATAATTTCGTCCATCCGACACTTCCCCGGATGGTAAAAAACACACATACACACACAAGTGACACACCGTAAACACACACAAAACGGGTAGGTAAAAACAAATTTAAAAAATGCCAATTAACAATACTTAATAAATCGAATAATAATTAAAATATTATAATCACCAACGGACGACGAACACGAGTACCGGCCGGACGAGCGCGTGAACGCAACTACCGCGTGCGCTGGACTAGTGTCGTCGGTTAGTGAAGAGAGTTCCCCCCCCCCTGCTTACCGCCCACTGACCAAGAAGATACCTCGGTATGTCTTGGGCGGGCATGTACGGAAAGCTCTTGTAAAACAAAACCAAAAAAGCTAGTACAGTGGGGATGGAGAGGTCACAGGTCTACAGGAATTATTATAACAAAAAAGTGATAAAATCACTTTTAAATAAACGCTTATATGCGAACCTGTGGGTAGTATGTAATACATGTATAAACCGCACATAGCAACTTTTTTTAAATTTATTTATTGAAGAATATTTACAGTCTATGCTGCAAGACATAATAATCAAATATAATATTGTTATATATACAGAGAAAAAAAAAATAAAAACTGTTGAGATGTTGTATGAGGAGGAAGGCTATCCAGTGATATAACCCAACATTCCCCTATTTTCTGAGTTTTCCATTAATAATAATAATAAAAAAAAGTTAATGTTTGACTACAGATTTTTGAGGAAATTGTTTATGTTGTAGCCCTATTCTACCTTTGGTCTAATTTTCATATATAAACCTTTAAAACTTTGCATGAAAAGCGAAAGAAAGAAAACAAAATCACCCCTTTTAGATTGCCGGCAGTACTATGTCTTAAGAATATTCTATATAAATTGGGAACTAATTTGAATATTTAAAAAAAAAGATTTGGAGCGCCGCACCGTAATTTTAAGTTGAAAAAAATGTAAAATTTTCGGGTGTTTTCTCGATTTTAAAGAGGAAGGGAAGACATTTTTAAATTTTTGGTCTAATAAGGTACCGTACAGGTACGATTTCTAATCTTAAGAACTGCTACACGAAGAAATCGAAAAAATTTGAATTTTCGGGAGTTGGGGGTACTAATTTTGGGTCTAAGGGTGCTAAAGACCCCTTAGCACCTCCTAGTTTTGCCTATGCTGGATGTACTGGAAAGTACTGACCGTTATTCGAGGCGTCTACTTTCAAAACCGGCTAAATTACATTTTGAAAACGTGTGTTTTTTTTTAAAGGCCACACTGTTAATTACACGGTATGTAGAACACTATAATTGAATATCAAATAAACATTATAGTAGTAAACGACATTTTGGTGGTAGTTTAGACCTAAAAGAGTGATAAAATGTGTCCTACTTTATATGGTCGGATTTCAATTATGTAAAGAGATTCGAGTTCTTAGCCTACTTTACTGTGTTATGTAGGAAACCGATTTTAATTTAAAAAATTTGTTTTAATAAAATAAAAAAAATTTAATTTATACATTTTCCTTATTAAAAAACAATTTTTTTCCAGAAAAAAACAAAAAATCATTTTTCTACATAACCTAGTAAAATTACCAAAGAATTCGTATATATTTACATTACAAATGGGAAGGTCAGTGTATCATAAGGTTAATATACCAACACAAATAAATGTAGATATAATAATTTGACTCGAGACACGAAAGCAGAGGAGGGCATTAATACAGGATAATATATCTTGATACATCCATAAATTATGATGCACCTGTAAAAACTAAAAACTAATATAAGGTTACATGTTGATTTTCAACATCAACTAATGTTATTATTTGAACAATTGATCAATTTATTATATTTGAAATTGTTTAATACTTGTAGGCATCGATTGATATTTTGATACTTTTTGCCCATTTCTGGATGATGATTTTAAAATAATAATGTATACTGTTGGGTATGGACAGTAACACACACTAAAATAATTGAAATGGGGTTAACGACGATATCAAATTTAAGAGTAGCGATAGATATAATTATAAAAACTTTTAAAAAAATTGTTTGTTAGTTGCATAGTCGTAATTTTTAACAAATATCAGCATAATATTTTATGAAAAATGTATGTATTTTACTTTAACTTGGAGCGGTAACATTTAAGTGATATATTTTATCAACAATACAAATATATCACTCAAATTACTGATGTTAAAATTATTATTGGTTATCGATTTCACAGTTTTAATACTAGTTCGTGAATGGGTTATGTCACTTTAAACTTATGGTGCTTTCCGAGTGCTGTAATAAATATTTTAATACTTAAATCAATCGTAATAAGGTAACTAATAAGGTGCAAAAGAAATGAAAATATGCAACGCTTCTATTATATATTTTAACAATGATGTACGAGTACATAGCTGATCTTCTGCTGTAAAAAATATAGTTTGTATGAATTAGTATACAAATCAAACTGTACCTATACTGAATTCGGTTTAACGCTGATAAACGAAGAATTATTATGAACAGTTATAATAATACGGTATATATGTTATTAGACACCATAAATTACATACGGCAATTGTAATATGCGCAATATATCTCATAAAAAAATAAGTATTATCTTAATTTGTTGTAAAGCCGTAAAACTTCTTTTTACACTTGAAATTTACACTGTTATTGTTGGAGCTATTTAAATGCGCATTTAAACGGAACAGCCGTAATACTAAATGTTCAATTCGAATTAGATAATTGATGATACATTTTGAGTAGGTTCACATTACTCGGCTCATTTTGATAATTGATTAAAAAAAAGAACTTATCTATTTTTCAAAAGTGTAGACACAGACAATACCCATTACATATTATTTTTCTAAATGAGTGCTAGCACAACAGGTGCAACTGAAAATGTTTGTAGCTCTTCAAAATGTATTGCCTCAAAAAAAAAAAAAAAACTATTTGTGAGAGAAAGTAAAAAAAAAATTGTCTAATAACTACTACTAATTGTAAGAATGAAAAAAAAACAAGTTTGTCAATAATATTGTATTAGAGATTTTTTGATTTTTTTGTACTTTTATGCAATTTTTGTTGTCGTTACTTATTGAATCGTTTTTGAAAACGATTGGTTTTATATTTATACATTTTTTTTCTATTAGAATCGTTGAACGTGTGCCAAAACAATAATTATGTATAATATTTGTATGTATACTTATATACATACCGCTTATTGTTCATACAATAGCTAGTATGAAGTATAGTATACATAACTACCGACAAACAGGTCACTTAAGAACGGCTCCAGTCCGGTGAAATGAACTTTTTATTTTTAAACACGTCCACAGCAGGCTGTTCGACTCGTTTGATGTTGTTAAAATATAAATAGTAGTATAGTGCGTACGCCGAGAAATGCAAAACTTTACTTAAATTAGAAGCCTATTAATATTTTAATATGATGTTTCAAGCGGCGAACCCAGTGCAGCGCACCTACTGCACTGGTCGCAATATAATCAATCCACTTCAGTGTAATTAAATTTAATTCTTTTTTTTAACGATAAAACATTAGTTGTGTAATGTCTGATTGTCGAGAGCTCGAAATCGCGGTTTTCAATTCAGCTTATAAAGTATATAATATATATTATATTATTATATAAGCATTAAACCAGAAACCTATTGAGGAGTATAATATACTTAACACATTTAAATTGTATACGTATTCGAAATCAACAGTTTCATTTTTTTTGTAGCCTTATTCGTTTTTTACAACAAATTATAATTCATAAAACAAAGAAATGTATTGAGCATGAAAATTTTTCTAAAAATCGAAGTACAAAAACTATGGACAATATTGGAATGGCGTTATGCAGAAAGCAACCAACCCACAAAAAAAAAAATCGAGGTTTTTTTTGGTAGGTTGGTTGCTTTCTGCATAACGCCATTCAATTATGAAAATGAAACTAATAAAAGCGGGAGAAAAAAAATTGAAGTTGATACTTTACCATTGAAAAAAATGTCTAATCTTTTTTAAAATGTAGAACGTTCAACTGCCGTCATAATTAATTCATAATGTTTTTTAGAACGCACTGATTAAAATACTATTATAAATAAGTTAGATGATTAAAATACAATTAAAAATTGTATATGATTACAATTTACCTCTTTCATAGTATTTCTAAGGTATGTTTTTACTCTTTTTGAACAACTGTAATTTTTATATTGATAACTGATATGTGATAACAATTAAAACAACTAACGGTATAATTAAATTTAAGTATTAAGCTAAATAAAGTGTGGTCCTTTGTGTAATCGTTCTCCTAGTATTTTTCAATGAGAATAATTAAGTAAAATAAATAATGAAATTAAATAGTTCAATTGAATTGCTGCGGTCGAACATCTTATGTGCGGTCAATTTCGAAGATTCAGGTCACTGTACTCTATTTGACTATTTCTGGATATATATCACTATAATTGGTATATTGCTGTGCAATAAACAATTTCAGGTGAAAAATAATGTTGTCAAATCAATGTAAAATCTTAAGTTTTATTAAATCTACATAAACAAAGTATACAAATATGTTTGCACCTAAGTACATTCTTAAACTCATCTAAAAAATACATTGCAATAATATACTTTTTTTTTAAATACGAGTTATTATTATCAAATTTTATAATAGAATATTTTTACTAATATTATGTTTATTATAATATAATTATATTTCATAATATGTTTTCAAAAGAATCTTTTTAATTGTAGTTTTAAGGGTTTATAATCGATTAGACTATTTTGATATTTTTTTTGTATTATATAATATCTATAAAAGACATCAAGAAATAATATTTTTAATTTCGTGTATAAAAAACATGAATATCACTAAAAAAATACATTAAAACTCCCAACTTCGAGGTTAATACCTCTTACCTACTTATGCTTATTTTAAATTATGTTTAAGGAACCCTTAAACATGTATTGGTTCAATGAACCTTTAGTGAACGTTTATGCGACCCGGTATAAGTATGGCAAAAAATATTGACACAAACTAAAAAGTTATCGAAATTTGTTTTATTCTTTTTTTTTTATTGACCAGTGTTATATAAGTTTACTTGTTCGTGATTCAATTAAAAATAAAATTGAAACTGATCTAAAGCTGCAAAACGAGTTAATTAAATTAACGGCCCAATAGAAAGTAGTTAAAAGTGCCGTTTGTAGTGCAAGTTATATTATACTAAGTACGTTAGATGATTA